TTTATGCAACTTGCCTCAAGGCCAAATACCATTTGCAACTCATTAAATTTACTGTATGTTTTTTACAATATTAATTTTCTTGAATGGAGATATTATAATTTAATATTTTATATAATATTCTAAAATAAACCATTAAAATTCTTTGTGTTAGTCTTAAAATAATTCAAACAAGTTCCTGTATGAAATTTAAGTTATACAAAAAAAAATGTATTAAACGATATTTTTTCAAATTAATGTATAATTATAAAATATCTATTATAAACAATTTGTTTATAATGAATTACAAATTATTATTAATTATTATATTACAAAATAAAAAAAATTGTAGCCCAACTAGAAGACAGGTTCAAAAATTTAATAAAATGACTGAAATATTTGAAATTTACACTTTTTAATCTAAAATAACATTTGGTTAAAACAAAGCATGTCTAATATTTCAAAATGACTTTAATTATCGAGAAAATACAAAATTACACATTTTCGGACAAAATAAGTTTGTTTTTCCTTCAGATAGATAAAAAATTGATTCAAATATTTAATAACTGAAAAAAATGGCTATACGATCTTAATTGAAATATATCAAAAAATAAACATAAAAGATATATCTCATAATCTCTCTAAATGCATTTATTTATACCCAGAATATTGTGTTAAAAAATTATATTATTTTGTTTGGCAATAAATCTATGTAAATAAAATATTAACAAAATATTTTTTTAAATGAGTAAATTATTTCTCGTTAAAATTCATTTTATTTGTTCGTTACTTATAAAATAATTCAAAAACGCTTTTGTGCAAACTATATTAATTCGGTGTATCCTTTCATCCCCTTTCGAATAAGGGATGAACCCTGCAAAGGGCAAATTGCTGTTCCTTTATTGGAAAGGGCGGAGATTTGAAGTCCTTTAGGGGCGTTTCTGTCTTCAAAAGGGGATTATATTCATATATTAGAAATGTTACTTTTATATAGTAATACTAGTTTTTTTTTTTTTTTATTGTTAATAAATTTATAATCTCAAATAATTTTTTTATGTATATTGAATCTTGAAAATAATTTTTCAGATCATTTTATTTTATTTAAAATTACAATCATTATTCTATTATATAAAAAAATACTAATATTATTTTATCTATATAGGAATTTTTGATCCCATATTCTTACTGTTTTTCGATTTATTTTTTAAATTTTTTGCTCTATTATTTATGCTCTTTTTGGGATTTTTTTTAAAACAAAATTTAATTTCTCATGACATTTTATTTGATTTAAAATTACTATCATTATTCTATCTGCTATATAAAAAAATACTAATATTATTTTATCTTTCTATATAGTAAATTTTTGAACCCATATTCTTACTGTTTTTCGATTTATTTTTTAATTTTTTGCTCTATTATTTATGCTCTTTTTAGGATTTTTTTGAAACAAAATTTATATTTTGTATTCTATTGTTCTTATTAATTCATTTGTTATTTGACAAATTATTTTTTGTGTTCAAAAGTTATTTTTAGTTTTATCTCAGTCTCATTAAATTTAAAATCTTCTTTAAAAAAACTCAAGTTTTTGGAGTGGATTAAACAGTTTTTGAGAAAACTCCTTCGATTCAGAATTATATATTATATAAAAAATGCTAATATTATTTTATCTTACCATATATCAAATTTTTGATCCCATATTTTTACTGTTTTTCCAATTTATTTTTAATTTTTTTGCTCTATTATTTACGCTCTTTTTAGTATTTTTTTAAAATATATTTTGTATTCTATTGTCTTATTAATTCATTTATTATTTTATAAATTATTCTTTGCGGTCAAAAGTTATTTTTGTGTTTCATCTCAGTCTCATCACATTTAAAATTCTTGTTTAAAAAAATTAATTTTTTGGAGTGGATTTAACAGTTTTTAAGAAAACTTTTTTGATTCAGAATTAAAAACAATAACATTTATTAATTAATATTACGGACAATTTTTCTTATGTTTTGTTAAAAAAATAATTTTTATTTTATATATAAATTAGACTAAATAAATTTAGTTTTTTTCAAAGACCTCGCGGGTGGTTTCTGTCCTTTATGTTTTTCCATTGAAAATTTGTCAAAAAAAGGGAAGATTTATGTTAGCGCCTTCGTATTTCTTTACATACAATTTATTGTCAAAGGGAGTCTTTCAAAAATTCATTCATGAAAATTGTATGAAAGTACCGTGTAAACTATATTGTACTTAAGAATTAACGGCTTTGCCAGACTTTTTGGAGACACTTTTGGATAACTAAAAGTGCAAAAAACACTCGAAACTTGCATTGTGCTGCATTTATGAGTTTTTGTATAATCAAAGTATCACATAACAACTAGTCTAGTGGTACATGGCATCGTGCCTTAAGGCGAATAGCTAAGGAAAAAAATCAATGATCATTAAATATTGATCAATGATAAATAACAATTGTTTTAAACGTATTCAAAGAGATAATTATAATTACTATATATTTTTTCGTTTATATATAAATATAAATAATCTTCATCTGCTCAAGTTCACTTTTTTATTTTTGTTTCAAATATCTTTCATTATTTTATCTTATTCTATGTAATTTAATTAATTTGTTACATTCTGTATTAGGCTAATTTGTGTTTTTAAGTGCATTATGCGATATACAATATTGTAATTTATCCTTAATATATGTATAATAATTGTATTTTTTAGTTTTCTTGGAACTATTCTGTGTTTGAAAAATAAATAAATAAATATATCATACAGTGACGATCTCATAGTATAAAACTCTTAAGAATGTTTACATTAACAAGAGGTGCCGAATAAATCCATCTGAGGAAATACGATCAGAATAACGCATTTGAAATATATACATTTTGAAACTGAATTGTAAGTTTATAGTTCATATTTATATATAAGTATATTTTTGAAAATTTAGAAAAAAAATGTTCTAAAAATTTTGAAGTTTGTTTGAATCGTATAAGTGAACTTATACTTGAACCGTATAAGAAATTTGGTACGAAACCAAAAAAAGTGTTGAGAACTAAATTAGTACTTATTTTTAAAATCTTTATGAAATATCTGATAATTTGATGTGCATATGTCTAATGATCATTTTTGAACGCCAAATGGCATTTTTTTTACTTTTTCCTCTATCTCCGAAACCGCTGGACCTGCCTTCCCAAAAATATAATTAGTTTTTCGTTCCATCAATACAAATAAAATGTTTTTTAAATTTTACCTCACTGAATTATGAACATTCTTGGCACTTCTTGCCTCGTATCTCCGAAATGACTGGACCTGTCTTTGCTAAAAACTAATCAGCACGTCTTCTTATCGATAGAAAACGAATGCTTTTTGAATCATTCAAATCGGTTGATCTGTGCGCACCAAATTGTGAACGAAAAATTGTATCCGCACACACACACACGTTAATTTTTTCGATATGCCAAAGTGTTCAGAAACCTTTTAAACGTAAAGGTATGCGAAAACTTTTATGTTCAATTTTTTTGCGATTACTGGAACTTACCCTGCGAGAAGTTGATAATAATAACGATACACAAAATCAGTTATATTTTGCATTTTGGCTTAAGGCAAGTTGCATCAATAAAAATTCAGTTGTTAAGATAAATATTTCAATTTCGAAAATTTTCTGTCACTAAAAATTAATCAGTGCCATTTCGAATTGATATCCTACAAATACGCTCAAAATATTTATGATTGTGTTAATAAAATTTATTTACAACATTTCATTCTACTTTAAGCTATAAAAATGTGCTTTAAGTTTATATACAGCTCGACCGAAAAAATCCATTTTCTCGAATTTTTTTCTGTGAAAACTATTAAATCTATCGATACAAAAATATAAAAGCATCTTTTAACTATATTTAATTTAAATAATTGCACGTAAAAATATTTATTAAAAAAAATTACAGCAAATCTGTGGGAGCGCCTCGTGAAAAACACGATTTTCAGTGACCACTCTATCTTTGAAGTAAATCATTCCAAATTAAAAAATCAAAGAGATTCAAATAAAAAATGATAAATCTAGAAATTAATCGAAGCAATAAGCAAAATAATTTGTCTGAATTTGCTCTAAGAGTGCGGCATTATTCCAAAAATTAATGAAATTTCTAATATTTTATATTTAAAAATATTTTTTAAGTGGATCCTTCATACGTTTCTTGTCGTCATTTGACGTTTTTTTTTATAAGATCTTCCATCTATCTTTTTTTCTTTTTTTCAGTTTATATACGGTTGTACAAATTGTACTTTCAAATAGAAGAAGAAATTTGAGAAAATATTCTAATTTTTTAAAACATTCAAAAAAAAGTTAATTGGCCCTTTGTTATATATCTCTACATTTGATATGTGAATATGTATATATATATATATATATATATATATACATATATATATATATATATATATATATATATACATATGATGTAATTAAGACTTTAGTATTTTTATTCGTGCTTTGAGTAATCAACTATAAAAAGAAGGGAAACTCTCACAAAAGCTCATTGTTCACAAAACAAGACTATTATTATACGAATTGAGATCATTAGTATCAAAATCATTACGAAAATGATAATTCTAATATTACGTGTTCTAGAAAATATAATTTTAATATATTACATAAAAATATACTTAAAAAAATACGTCCAAATTCTCTAACTATGATAAATATTTCAACTGTTCGAAAATAATATTATATCACTAAAATTCTTATCACCAAAAGTTACTTAAATGCTATTTTTCAAACAAATTTAATAACAAGAATAAACAATATTTATTACAAATATATTTATTAATTCACAAATATATTTATTACAAATTAATTCACAAATATATTTATTACAATACTTTTATCAAAAATAATTACGTTACAAACACTAACAACAATGTTATACAAAAAAAGCAAAAATTTAAAAAAAATCCAAAAATTTATAAAAATATTTTACCATATATATATATATATATATATATATAAATTTTAAATAATTTTTTATTTTTTGTTACAGTTTATCTGAACAGGGTACAGTTTTGCCCCAGCCGATTTCTTCATTGTTTCGTTTATTTTCCCGTTTCAAAAATCTGTGGAGGGGCTCAAAGTATTTTAATAAAGCAGTGGCGTCCATGGTGTCTTCGTTCGTCAAAACTCGCATCACGTCGGGCCAGGGGCGAGAGCAGCCTAAAGATAGGGCTTCTCTGGAAAAATAAGGTAGGAAATTAAAATTTATATATATATAATATATATATATATATATATACTAGATGACCTGACGGACGTTGTCCTATACCCACGTCTACAATTCAAAAGTACTAAATTTTTTAATATCCTATCCTATACTTTTTAATATCATATTTGATGTCCTGCCTCTGTGTTTCATTTATGATCTTAGCATTAAAAGTATAAGAAATTTAGAAAAAAATAATATAGTACCCTGCGGTAAAAGAACAATATCACACTTGATTTTACCACACAACACAATTGCTTCAATAATTTAGTCTTAGTTGCTTTTTGGCAATTTTAATTCCTAAAGTACATTTTTCTCACTAATAATTTAGTAAACATCATTGTTTAAGTTCAAATCTTGGGTAAATTAATTTGTAAAATCCTGTTCATATGTGCTCTATTCAATCTAAGATCAACTAACTAAATATTCTAAATCCAAAGCCAAACAAATGAATTTTTGACACATGAAACAAAATTCTAAATCATTTTTTTAATAAGTAGAAATATTTTTTTGCATTTAAATAATTTAGTAAAGCAAACTAAAATGCGACGTGCATGAGTTAAAAAAAATAATGTATATGTAATTTTGGACTTAATAAAATGAATTATATAATTTCATCTGCCAAACCGTATATTGTATTTTATATTATTTTAATTTTTGGAATATCTCAGCTGCTTTTCTTGCCAGCTCTTGTAGACGTTACTACATTTTTCTTGTATATCATATTCTAATATTATCTAGGCTCATAATTTCAACTAAATTTAAATTTCAAGTGAATTGACATTTCTAGCAGATGACAGTTTTCAATTACAAACAATGATAAGTGTTTTTTTGTAATTTTTGCTATGTATTTTTTCTACAATATTGCTATAGTTTTATCGTTAATTAAATCTGAAAAATTTTCTTTGACAAACTCTAAAAAGATTTATCAAAATCCGAATAACCGTTTAGGAGAAGTATCAAATCATACACCCGTACAAAAGAATTTTATATATAAGATTGAATTGAGAAATACAACTTTTTTTACTTGGAAAAACTGTTTTTTATCAAAGGTTATCCACCCCTAATATTTTTTTTTTAAATTCTGGAATCAATTTTCTTCTAACTTTAATTTTCATAATGCGAAATTAAAAAATGCACACAAATCTAAATTTTCACCCTCCTTCCACAAATCTCTATTTCATAATAGCCATTTTAGTAATCGAAAAAAAATTTCTCATTGTACAAATATTTCCCGATGCACACAAACAGTACTAAGTTGATGAAAAGATTTGCAGTGCCAAAGCTTTTTAGCTTTAGCTTTAGCTTATTATATTGATATATCTTAAATATTTTAATGAATTTTGAACATTAATTGATAATTCTTGCAAATTATGTCCGTCTTAAAAATTCTGTAGAAATTTTCAAGTAGGAACAAAATTGTCAAACATGATCAAATACTTAATTTTTTTTTAAAAATTGTCAATAATTACAAAAATTGTTGAAATGTTTTAAAAAATCTAAATTTAGAAACAAGTACAAATTTTCTTTAAAAAATTTCATTTTTTACTAGGAAATAAATTTTACAATATTTTAAGAATGTGGTAATTGAAAAAATATGAATTTTCAACAAAAGTGTTTTATATGCACAAATATAAAAATTCCGAAGTATTTTTTTTTCAAAATTATTAGTATACTAGCTGAACCGGCAAATGTTTTATCACATAAGTAAGGTATTCATAAGCAATTTCTAGAGAATTCAAATACTTACTATTTTATTGTAAGTATATAAGTAAAATCTTGTGAATTGACATTATGGACATTTTTACAGGTATATGTTTCAAAGTTATCATTTATGTTATCAGCTAAATCCTCTTATTTAACTTGTTAACAGTTATAACTCAAAATAAGTTATTCGACAAAATGTTCTCTCATATCAGTTTCAAATTCAGTCTTAATTTAAATAATCTAAATGAAATAATATAATCTAAAAATGTTCTATAATTACAAATTAATGTAAAATTATACAAATAAGTTCATTCATAGCACAAAGTTTGAAAAAAGTATGATTTGCACAAAAAGAGTGCCTTAAAACCAAAGAGTGTATTTTTATACTATATAAATACTATATAAATATTAACATTTAGAGCTAAAACTTTTAAATGATTTTTGTTTATTACTTTGGAAGCGTTTGAGCCCTTGGGAGCAAGGAAATTCGAAAATGTCCATATTAAGGACCACCCTAATATATATTTATATATTTTTAGTAGCCAAAATCGTTTTCTACTCGCCGAGACCTTTCAAACTATACCCCACATGCCACAAAAGATACAAACTAAATTTTTTGAAGTAAAACTTCTTTAAGCTCGTTTACTAGAAATGCATTAAAAGACTGTATTTTTGTGACAAATGAGCTAGTTAATTTTAGTAATCGCCACAAAAGTTTTGCACGTTTCATGTTTTAAACAATTTTTCAATAAAATTTGACATTTTAAAATTGTTTGCGATATAATTATGATAATAAATAATGCTTGTGTGTTTTTTTTTGTAAAAATCGTTTTCTACTCGTCGAGACCTTTCAAACGATACCCCACATGCCATAAAATATTTACACTCGTAATAAATTGCCATCGAACTTACACAGATGGCGCAAGATAATAAATATACGAAACTTTTATTTGAATCGCGGACTATGTAAATGTTAATATTACGAGCTGAAATTTTCAGAGAATTTTCTTTTATTACTTTGGAAGCATTTGAGCCCTTGGGAGCTAGGAAATTCCGAAAACGTCCATATTAAGGACCACCCTAATATATATTTATATATTTTTAGTAGCCAAAATCGTTTTTTACTCGTCGAGACCTTTCAAACGATACCCCACATGCCATAAAATATTTACACTCGTAATAAATTGCCATCGAACTTACACAGATGGCGCAAGATAATAAATATACGAAACTTTTATTTGAATCGCGGACTATGTAAATGTTAATATTACGAGCTGAAATTTTCAGAGAATTTTCTTTTATTACTTTGGAAGCATTTGAGCCCTTGGGAGCTAGGAAATTCCGAAAACGTCCATATTAAGGACCACCCTAATATATATTTATATATTTTTAGTAGCCAAAATCGTTTTTTACTCGTCGAGACCTTTCAAACGAATACCCCACATGCCATAAAAGATTTACACTCGTAATAAATTGCCATCGAACTTACACAGATGGCGCAAGATATTAAATATACAAAACTTTAATTGAATTGCGGACTGTCTAAATGTTAGTATTGCGAGCTAAAACTTTCAGAGGACTTTTTTCTATTACTTTGGAAGCGTTTGAGCCCTTGGGAGCTAGGAAATTCCGAAAACGTCCATATTAAGGACCACCCAAATATATTTTTATATATTTTTAGTAGCCAAAATCGTTTTTTACTCGTCGAGACCTTTCAAACGATACCCTACATGCCATAAAAGTTACAATCTAAATTTTTGAAGTAAAACTTCTTTAAGCTCGTTTACTAGAAATTCATTAAAAGTTAAATTGATTGACTGTACTAATATATAAAGCTTGTGTTTTTTCCGAAATCGTTTTCTACACATCGAGACCTTTCAAACGATACCCCGCATGTCATAAAAGATACAATCTAAATTTTTTGAAGTAAAACTTCTTTAAGCTCGTTTACAAGAAAAATATCAAGGACTACCTTAATGTGTATATATGTTACCTGAGTTGCTCTCCTGCTCCAGGACACCCATAAATATCGCAACGATACAGAAAGGGACTGCCATCGCTTTCGTCCTCGTCGTCACTATCTACATACTGCCCTGCACGTTGGCAAAGGGCACTATGGAACTGAAACTGCAGGACGAAACTGATGAAATACCTGCAAAAAAATTAAATATAAAATATATAATAAATAATCATTTACTAAATAACATAATTAAAATAGAGAAATGTTCTGGATGTTCTAAACATGTTCTAGATATTCTAAAATTGTTCTAAATATTTACAAAATGTTCTAGATATTCGAAAAATGTTTGAGGTAGTCGGAAAATGTTTAAGATATTCTCAAAATGTTTTGGATGTTCGAAATATGTTCTGGATGTTCAAAAAAAGTTCTGGATGTTCGAAAAATGTTCTGGATGTTCTAAACATATTTTAGATATTGGAAAAATGTTCTAAAAATGTTTTAGATTTTCGAAAAATGTTCTGGATGTTCGGAAATGTTCTAGATGTTGTAAAAACGTTCTAGATATTTTAGAATAGTTCTAGATATTTTAGAAATGTTTTTGATGTTCTAAAAATATTCTGGATGATCTAAAAATGTTCTGGATGTTTGGAAAATGTTCTGGGTAGTCAAAAAAAATTCTACTTCTAAAAATACACAAAATGAAATTTAACCGAATTAAAACAAGTGCAACAATAGACACAAATCAAGATATACATGAACACAACAATTTTCACATTGAACACAATAAAAGGAATAAATTGAGAGAAAATGTCATATCGAGTGCTAGGAAAATATATAACGAATTGCCAGAAGATATTAAGATGACCAACGATGACGATAAATTTAAGAGAAAAATAAAGAAATACTATAAGGAAATTGAAGACAAAGAAGACTGAAGAGTTATATATACGAGATAGATATTATAGTCAAATAAAATGTATATATTATATGAAAACTGTTTTTCATAATCTCTCATACCAGGCACCTCTGTCTGACTGAGATATGAAAATAATGTATATATGTAAATAAATAAAATATAATATATAAAATAATAAAGGCATTGCTTAATTATCTCTATATCCTTGCCTCAAATATGGAACTCCTGCAGCAATATGGTACTTGGCACCAGGATCAAAATCCTTTTCGGTCCTTTGCAAAGGTGGGCATATTCCTTGGTACTTATCCCTGCAAAGGTAAAAGAAACATAGTCAATGATAAAAGGCACTTATTAGTGCAGTAAACGGAGAGGAACTAGTGGTGTATGGCATCGTGCCTTAAGGCAAATTGCTGAAACTTCCCGTAGCGTAATGAAATATTCGAGAAATTTTAAACGTTTTCATATATATCATTACAAACACCGTAACTTTCATTATTTTTGTATCTTGTTATATCTGAGTGAGCAAATGAAATGTAAATCATAAATCAATTATTACATTAACAATCGTCATTTCATTTCGAATTCAATTTGAAAAAAATAGTTGCCTTTATAATCTACACAAAATTGAAAAAGTGCTCCCGTATAGTCACAGTCTAAACGCATTTGTAAATAATTCTGTGCGACATTTTCACTTATACTGCGCTTAGCTTGGCGGCATTTTCACATTTTTCAATAGTTTTTGGAACCAAATTGAAAAATTACTCCAGTATATAAGCAGTCTAAACGCACTTGGGTAAACATTTGTACCAGAGTGGCGCTTAGACTGTGCTTAGCCTGGGCAACTTTTTCAATTTTTCGAGTAATGCAAAATTTTTCATTTACTATTTTCGGCCCATTACTATAACTACCCTACGGGAAGTTAATAAAAATAAACCAGATTTTCAAAAAAGTCATTTCATAGATTTCAATATTTTCATAGATTTTTAAAAAAAATTGAAGATTTTCTGAAAATTGAAATATTGTAAGGCGCATTGTCTGTTAAAATTTTAATACCAAAATTTTATTCACGAGGATAACCTCAGATTTTTTTTCTGGTATCTTGATGAAACTTTGGGCGTTGATAAAGTTTGTCAGATTGAACACCTTAAAATATTATAGGCCTATGATAAGTGGTTTATTGTTAGTGCACAATTTTATAGTCACATTCTTCATTTTTATAATATCTCATTTCCTAATAAATTTAATAATATAAAACATTGTATAAATACTGTAGCAATATATAAAACTAGTGGTGTATGGCATCGTGCTTTAAGGCAAATTGCTGGAACTTCCTCTACCGTAATAAAATAATTGAGGAATATTAAACGTTTTTCACGAAAATCTTATTCACGAGGATAACCTCAAATTTTCTTTTCTAGGATCTTGATGAAACTTTGGGTGTTGATAAAGTTTGTCAGATTGAACACCTTAAAATATTATAGGCCTGTGAAAAGTGGTTTATTGTTAGTGCACAATTTTATGGTCATATTATTCATGATTATAATATTTCATTTCCTAATAAATTTAATATTATACATTGAACATTTACAGTAGCAAAAAAAATATATAAAACTAGTGATGTGCCTTAAGGCAAATTGCTGGAACTTCCCGTACCGCTATGAAATATTCGAGGAATAATAAATGTTTTCAAATAGATTTTTATAAATACTGTAACTTTTATTATTCGTATTTTATAGAGGAAATATAAGTGCTTATGAAATGTGATACGACGTTTACATAAAAATTAAATAAACAAAAGTGGAATAAAAAACCTTATCTCATATTTTTAAAAAGTATATAAACTGAATTGGTTAGGTTAAAATTATTTATTTCAAATATATGAGTGAGCTTTAGAATTTTAGCTAGTATTAAAATTGCGATCTAAATCGTTTTTGATCATAAAAAAATGGAAAAAAATATTTTGTGAATCACAAAATTGAAAAAGTGCCCCTGTAAAGTCACAGTCTAAACGCATTTGCAAATAACTCTGTGCGACATTTTCACTTATACTGTGCTTGGCCTGGCGGCATTTTCACATTTTTCAATAGTTTTCACAAAATTGGAAAAGTGCTCCGTACACAAACAGTCTAAATGCACTTGGGTAAACATTTGTACCAGGGTAGAGCTTAGACCGTGCCTAGCCTGGGTATAAGTGAAAATGTCGCACAGAATTATTTGCAAATGCGTTTAGACTGTAACTATAAGGGAGCACTTTTTCAATTTTGTGCAAATTAGGCAACAATTTTTTTTTTTGAAATTGAATTCGAAATGAAATGACGATTGTTAATGTTCCTGGAGATAAATTGATTTATTTACGATTTACATTTGATTTGCTCAGATATAACAAGATACCAAAAATAATGAAAGTTACACTATTTGTAATATTATATTTGAAAACGTTTAAAATTTCTCGAATATTTCATTACGGTACGGGAAGTTCCAGCAATCTGCCTTAAGGCACACGATGCCATACACCACTAGTTAAGATTTTTATTGACATTATTTTGCTCATTACATGATTTTCGTTAAAATGTATATTTTAGGAGATATTTGCAAAAAAACCCAAGAAAAACGCCAAAAATATATAAATCTTTAGTGGCCAGCAACTTGAAAAGTATTAGTTTTTTTGAAAAACTATAAGAGACATTTTTTTCTCATATTTAGTTCTATCGATTGAGAAGCGATGTCTTCCGTTGGGATGTGGCAAATGATTCTAAATTATATTCACTTTTGAACTTGAGATTAAGATGAACCTAATTCCAAAACATCATGCAAATTAGAGCACAGTAAAAAAAAAATTCAAACCCAAAACGCTCCGTTTACTTTACTATATGTTTATTACTACCCTTACCTAAGTTTCCACCAATGTTTGTTATAATCTTGTTCCATGACATTGCTTTCAAAAACGTCCCATCGCCAAAGATCAACCAAATAGCCAAAGGGCAAAAAGGCAACCTTCTCCAAAGCCATTCTCATCAAAAAGTTCAAATCCCTTTTGTCGCAATCCCTCAAACCTTTGACGCGTTTCTTATGCTTTTTTTCTTGGTGGTCTTCATCTTTATCATCAGATGATTCGTCTTGGGGTTTGAGTTCTTTTTCGACGATTTTTTTATCCGAATCGTTGGCGTCGATTTCGTGTTCTTCGTAATGGCAATGATCGGCTTGTTCGACTAGGCCGATTTTTTTTAGGTGACACATTGTGACGACGGATAGGGCTATGGTGTCGCCTATTGCTTCATGAAAACCTAAAAGGGATAAATTAATTTAATTTTTTTTAATTTGAAAATTTGCTTTATTTGACTTAAATACATACATTGATTTTTACATAAAGATACAAATTGTATACACCCTTTCTGGGAATATCATTATACTATCATAATATAATATTGTTTGCATATATATATTAGGTTGTCAAATATCTCCCTTCCGCTTTTTTGCTCTTAGTTTATAATACAAAAAGGCGGAAGGGAGATATTTGACAACCTTATATTTGTTTTAATTGACTTATATAAGTATGAAAAGAGCTATTAAAAACACACTGCCTTAAAAACATACTGCCTAAAAGGGATAAATGATTTATAAAGTACTGAACATATGTGGGTCTAGTGTGAAAAACATCGAACAAATGTGGTTTATCTTGTTTTTTGTTTATTTTGCACTCAACAGTGTGCCAAAATTCATTCAAATGTGAGTTTTTTTATTTATTCTATTCATTCAAATTAATCAGGTTTGTTTTTGATTTATTACATATTTGGTATAAATCTTATTTAAGAAGTGAACCTATGGGTAGATTTACGTGCTACAGTTAGTGGCGCCTCTATGGAGCGCGAAAACAATTAAAAATGAGGTAATCGCAAAGCGGTCATGTTTGTGATGTATTTAATTCATATTATTTTTATCAATAATTAAAAAAAAAACTAGTTTACAAAAACGTTTTTAAGTCATCAGGAAAAGTTTGCTGGTCGCCAAAAAACTTTGCGAGTCGTCGAAAAATCTTTGCAAGTCGTCGAAAAAACTTTGCAAGTGAAATTCGTCGAGTTTTTATTATATTTATCGACTTTTTCAGAAATTTGTAGTTATTTTTGAAATTTGCCAATTTTTTAAGTTTGTCGTTTTTTTGCAATTTGTCGATTTTTTGCAATTGTCGATTTTTTTAAAAAAATTGTCGATTTTTTTTTTGAATTTATCGGTTTTTTTAAATTTCGTCGATTTTTTTGCAATTGTCGATTTTTTTTGCAATTTGTCGATTTTTTTTGCAATTTGTTGAATATTTTTGCAATTTGTCGAAATTTTTAAAAGCCGCCTTTTTTTTAAATTTGTCTTTTAATTTGTCAATTTCTTTCAAAATTCGCCGATTTTTTAAAAAAAAATTTTGGATTTTTTTCTAAATCTGTCGATTTTTTTAAATTTCTCGATTGTATTTTTTGAGATTCGTCGAAATTTTTTGAGATTTGTCGAATTTTTTTGATATTTTTCGAATTTTTTTGAGATCGGTCGTATTTTTTTGAGGTTTGTCGATTTTTTTTGAGATTTGTCGATTTATTTGTCGAAATATTTTGTAAGTCGTCGAAATATTTTGTAAGTCGTCGAAATATTTTGTAAGTCGTCGAAATATTTTGCGATTCGTCAAAAAAATTTGCAATTTTTCGAAAAAAATGCGATTTTTCGAAAAACTTTCAAACTCAAACTTTGCAACTCGTCGAAAAAAATGTAAAATTCGTCGAGCAAAATGTGGACGTCGTCGAAAAAAATGTAGAAGTCGTCGAAGAAAAATGTGGAAGTCGTCAAAAAAATGTAGCAATTTGTCAATTTTTTTTTTGCAGTTTGTCGAAATGTTTTTAGCTATTTGTCGAACAAATTGCCATTTGTCAAACAAAATTAGCAAGTCGCCAAAAAATCTTGCTATTTGTCGAAAAAGTTGCAATTCGTCGAGAAATCTTGCTTTTTGTCGAAAAATCTTGCGATTCGTCGAAAAATTTTGCGATTTGCCGAAAATGTTTGCAATTTGTCGAAAATTTTAGCAACTGGTCGCAAAATTTTGCTATTTTTGTATATTGCAATTTGAAAAAATGTGCAGGTCGTCGAAAAAAATGTGGAGGTCGTCGAAAAAAATGTGAACGTAGTCGAAAAATATATGGAAGACGTGGAAAAAACGTTGCAATTCGTAGTTTTTTTGCTATTTGTTTAAAACAATGTTGTTATTTGTCGAAAAATGTGCAGTTCGTCGAAAAAATGTGCAGTTTGTCGAAAAGTGAGAAATTCATCGAAAAAGTGAGCAATTCGTCGAAAAAATGGACAATTTCTTGAAAAATTCGCAGTTCGTCGAAAAATTTAGCATTTATTCGAAAAAAGTATGAAAGTCGTCAAAATATTTCGATCGGTTTTTTCATATTTTTTGAAACTCACATTTTTTTAAAAGTCTTCGAAAAATTTTCTAATTCCCAAAAAGAATCAAATTCTATCTTTCTATGCTTTTCGAAATTTGCAGTCTACTAGTCTACTATATGGGAAGTACTAGCAATTTCACTTATATTAGGCACTATATCACGTATAACTTAGTTCGGTTCATAAACTATTATTTACACCCAATTAATTTGATTCAACAAATCCTCACCTGGATTTGCTCCTTCGCGATAGGGCAAAGGTAAATCCTTGTACTGTAGATAATATTGTACGTGACCCATTTCGTGATGAATCGTCACGAAATTCTCATACGTCACTTCTGCACACATTTTTATCCTACCAAAAAATAAAACATAAATTTATCACAATTTGCGCGATTATTCACAGTTTTAAAAATTACGCAACCGAGAAAACCAAAAACATGAATAAAACTTACAATTGGGGTAGTTTTTTTTTTTCAAGACTATTATAGTAAAGAATATTTAAGAGTATTTCAAAGAGTAAAGTGCTAATTCTCCGATAAAATAGAATTGACGTTGTACACATAAAACCTAACCTCCAAAACGTACAAACAATGTTATCCCAAGTGTATCCTTATGATGTGACTTTTACAGCAAATACGTGAAGTTAGGTTTTATATGCAAAACATCTGATCGCACAGCAAGTACATAGCCTCTTGATAGTTTTTATTATTGACTCATACGAAGATAGACCCGTAACACAGTGTTTCTATTTTATCATCAACCCTAAAGGTTATATTTTTACCTAAAGTCTTTTCCGTCATACATATCCCAGGCCGAGGCGTGGCAAAACATTTTGATGTCTTCGTTAGGACGAGAAATTATAGAATTGTTCCAGAATGACGTCGGCATTGCAGACATATTTAGGGATACAAAGAACTTTTCGGCTAAACGAAACATTTTTTCCGGCGTATAACCCTGTAGAAGAAAAAAACAATTAATAGTAACGCTTGCAATCTCTAATTGTGATAAAACTCAGGCACAGTTGATAAAATTAATAACTACATAAAGTTTTTTATGGTCAAGCACATTTTATTAAATTTTTAGATTTTCCGAACATTTCTAGAATATTCAGAATATTTTCAAAGCGTCTAAAACATTTTCAGAACACTCGGAACATTTTCAGGAAATTTCTAGAACATTTAATACATTTTTAGAACATTTTCAAAACAATCTAGAACATTTAGAATCTTTTCAGAATATTCAGAACATTCTTAGAATATCTAGAATATTAGAACATTTTCAGAACATATAGAACATTTTTAGAGCAACTAGAATATTTTTAGAATATCTAGAACCTTTTCAGAAAATCTAGAACATTTTTAGAACATTTAGAACATTTCCACAATATCCAGATCGTTTTCAGAAAATCTAGAACATTTTCAGAACATCTAGAACATTTTTAGAACATCTACAACATTTTTAGAATACCTAGAACATTTTTAAAATATTTCTATAACATCTAGAACGTTTCTAAATTATCTAGAATATTTTTAGAACACCTAGAACATTCAGAACACTTATAGAACATTTTTGGAACATTTTTAGAACATCTAGAACATTTTTGGAACATTTTTAGAACATCTAGAACATTTTTAGGATATCTGGAACATTTTTAGGATATCTAGAACATTTAGAACATTTTTAGAACATCTAGAACAGTTAGAACATTTTTAGAACATCTAGCTCCTTTTCAGAAAATCTAGAGCATTTTAGGACATTTCTAAAACATCCAGAACATTCCTAAAACATCTAAAACATTCCTAAAACATCTAGAACATTCCTAAAACATCTAGAACATTCCTAAAACGTCTAGAACATTCCTAAAACATCTAGAACATTTTTAAAACATCTAGAACATCTAGAACATTTTCAGATCATCTAAAACATTTTGAGAATATCCAGAATATTTTTAAAACATCCACAAACATTGACAAACATTTTCAGAACATCCTCAAACATTTTAAAAACATCCACAAACATTTCTAATACATCTAAAACATTTTTAAAACATCTAGAACATTTCTAAAATAACTAGAACATATTTAGAACATCTAGATTTTTTTAGAATATCCAGAATATTTTTAGAACACCTACAACATCTCTAAAACATCTAGAACATCTAGAACATTTATGAAACATTTCTAGAACACGTAGAACATTTCTAAAACATCCAGAACATTTTTAGAACATCCACAAAATTTATAGAAAATTCACCAACTTTATTAATATAATATACCAAAATACAACAAAACATAATTTTTGGTGTAAAATTAACAAGAAATAAACTGAACTATGCAAACACTTTCTTTTTTATAATTAATAAGTCACCATCACGACTAGAATTATTACAAACTTCTTGTTTTAAATCAACAAAAACTGTCAGTTTTCAAATTATCAAATTAAATTATCAGTTTAATAATTAGTCAAAAAATATATTATTTATATTATAAAAGTAACTTAGTATAATTTTACGTGGAACAAGAAACTATATATTTTTTGGCTCTTAAATCATTTTACGCGATCCCTACTTTCATAATAAGAGCTTCTACATTTTATTAGCCCGAACATTTTTTTTTATTTTTTCCTTTTCTTTTCGCATTTTGTCTTAGTATAAATCAAAACTTTTAAGACATTTTGAATATATCTATTTTTGTTTTAATAAATATTTGGCTGATTTATAATTTTTACCTTTTGCGTCATAGCCGCGGTTATATCCGGCAATTTATGATCAGGAAATGGCATTGTTTCATTGAAAAGATTTGTCCAGGTCTGCGCCCACATATTTCCTAAAAAAAATATACAAAGCACAAAAATAGTAAATGATGCTAATAAAATATATATTTTATTTTTAAATTATAAAGCAATATTAAAAACAATAAGTTACATTTATTATTCTTCTATTTTATTAACCAAAGTTGCAACCACGATGAAACTAAAAGGTTTCCCATAGACTTCTTTCATTACCAATCTTTTTTTACTTGTACATTTATTAAATTTTTAGGTTATCCAATTATCTGCCAAACTATATTATGACCAGAATAATTCATAAAATAATTTTTGGAAATAATTTGTGGACCAGCAAGACGCTACCAAACTTTGCTAAACAAAACACCAATATTTGTTTACAACGTTGACAATTCAGATATAAATAGATTTTGGCTATGTCAGACCGATATATTAAGAAGATAGCACAAAAATAGTAAATTCATAAAAAATACTGATAAATAATTATTCAAGTTATAAGCTTAATCTCGTTTTTTATAAGAAATAATTAAAATTTTATATAAGGGTGTTTGATGTAGTTTTTGCAAATTCTAGGCAAAGAGTAACAGGTAACAGGGAGTTTTTAACTTATTTAAATAAATGTAAAAAATGTCCCGAATAGTACAAAAATAATTAATCCATAAAAAATACTGATAAATAATAATACAAGTTATAAGCTTAGTTCTCGCTTTTTAAAATAATTAATTAGGACAAACGTTGCATCTTAAATTAATTTTCAAAAACTCTAAGAGTGTTTGATGTAGTTTTTGCAAATTCTAGGCAAAGAGTAACAGGTAACTTTTTAACTTATTTAAATAAATGCAAAAAAACGTCCCGAATAAATATATCACAAATTTTAATTCGAAACAATAATTAATTAGATTTTATATAAGATATAGTTTATGCAAATTCTAGGCAAAGAGCAACAGGTAACAGGAAGTTTTTAACTTGTTTAAATAAATGCAAAAAATGCCCCATCACAAATTTAAATTTGTATAGGGGGTGTATTTAGCAGTTTATTTAGGATTGTAGTAAATTTTATTTAGTTTCTGCTAACATAAATATAAAAGAGTATTTTGATGAAAGTTTTTAAGTTACTTAAAAAAAATGTAAAAAAATGTCCGGCATCAAATTTTAGCATACCATCTAAATTGATTTCTTTTATTTTCTTATTTTACTGCAAGTGATTAGATTAATAGCACATTGAGTTTATTAGAGAATATATTGGTATTTTACTACCACATATTTCCTACAAAAAAATAGACATGGCACAAAAATAGTAAATGATTCATGTCATAATTTTTCATTTTATAATCGTATTGCAATATTAGAAACATTACGTTACACTTATATAAATAATATATTATTTTATTAACCAAAGTTGCAACCACGATGAAACCAAAAGGTTTCCCATAGACTTCTTTCATTACCTCTCTTTTTTTCACTTCTACATTTATTAAATTTTTAAGTTATCCAATTGTCTACGAAACTATATTATGACCCAAATAATTCATAAAATAATTTTTGGAAATAATTTGTGGACCAGCAAGACGCTACCAAACTCTTTTAACCAAGACGCCAATATTTGTTTACAACGTCGACAATCCAGATATAAATAGATATTGGCTATGTCAGACCGATATATTAAAAAGTTGATACATAGTTTTAGTTGTAAGCTTATCCGAGTATAGATTGTTCTTTTACTATTTAAATTATATTATTATTAATATTATTTTTTAACATTTTTACCCAAAAGATGAGCCGGAATGCATCCTCCAACCGGTATCAATCTTTCTCCGTAAATGCACCGCAATTTGTATCGGACGTATGCGTGCAATTGCTTGTATAAAGGTTCGACCTAAATAGAAAAATAGTGAAAAAAAGTAGTGAAAAATACGAAAAACATTGTAAATAATTATGATTCAAAAATATTATAGGCCTACAAAAATTAGTTTGATTATAAAACTAAGCTAAACGTCTATGGTCACTATTATATATATTATTCACACTTACAACGGGAGGTTTATGCAACTTTCCTTTAGGAAAAAATATTTTATGTAAAATAAATAAATAAATAAATTTTTGAAAAATAATTAATTATAAATTTTTTACAACTCTTAATTAAAATTAATAACAAAAAATTAAGTGCGTTTTTGATGTTAAAATATAAACAAATTTTGAATACAAATTTTAAAAGTGTCAATCTCAAAAACAAATAACATTATAAATATTCTGATATGCTTGTAAATTTTTCAAAAACTACGAATTTGTTTTGACAAATTTTGAAAATTCTACAATCTCAAATTTTGAAAGTACCTAAATTGTGCTAGGGCACATTCTTAAAATTTTAGATAATGTTATAAGTTAATAAAATATGAAAATAAATTTTGAATATGTATTCAAATTTTAAGATTGTCGAATTGTTTAGCAAACTATATTATGACCAAAATAATTAAAAAAATGTAGTCTAGCAAGACGCTACCAAAACTCCAATTTTTGTTTACAATGTCGACAATCCAGATATAATTAGATATTGACTATGTCAGACTAATATTGCAAAAATATGATAGATAGTTTTATTTTTTTGTATATTTGAAATAGAATAATTAAGGGTTGATTCAAGACTTTTTTGCTAGATGAATGTTGGAATATTTCTAGAAAGTGTATATTTTGCGGACGAATCACATACATAGTTACATTTTGTACTCGCTTCAAAAATTTAACACCTTACATAATTAAAAGAAATATATAAATTTTAACATTTTAATATTTTTGGCAATAAAATATTACGTTTTTTCACAATATAATAATTGTTTTTGTGAAAATCGTTTTCTACTCGTCGAGACCTTTCCAACGATACCCCACAAGCAATAAACTGAAATTTTTGAAGTAAAACTTCTTTAAGCTCGTTTACTAAAAAATTGTTAATAGTGTATATTTTGCGACAAATGATCTAGTTAATATAATTAGAATTACAAACAAAAGTTTTACGCCTCACACATTAAAAAAAATCAATAAATTTCAATATTCTAATATTTTGTGCAATGAAATTTTGCGTTTTTATTACAATACAATTTTTTTTGAAAATCGTTTTCTACTCACCGAGACCTTCCAAACGATACCCAACACGCCATAAAAAATACAATTAAAATTTTTGAAGTAAAACTTCTTTAAGCTCGTTTACTAAAAATTCGTTAAAAGTGTATATTTTGCGGACAAATCACATACATAGTTACTTTTTGTACTCGCTTCAAAAATTTAACACCTTATTTTAAAAAAATCTATAAATTTTAACATTTTAATATTTGTTGCAATAAAATGTTACGTTTTTATTACAATATATACATATATATATATATATATATATATATATTTATATATTGTGAAAATCGTTTTCTTCTCGTCGAGACCTTTCAAACGATACCCAACAAGCCATAAAAAATACCATCAGAATTTTTGAAGTAAAACTTCTTTAAGCTCAATAAATAAAAATTTATTAAAAGTGTACATTTTGCGGACAAATCTGACGTTGAGTTCTGGGTCACCCTCTATTAGTCTAAAATATTATCATTTACCTGTTTCCAAAGTTTTTTGGCGATTGATTTCATTTCATCCGGTTGAAGTGGGTCGAACTCGGTGAGCCATTCAAAAGCTGTGTCACAGTAATCTTATGCAATAACATAAATTTTAAATACAAAAATTAATTTTTTAAATTTGTTATTACATTGGTGAATGAACTGACTGTTCAGATATGAAGCCTCGTTCATCAGATCCACATAATCGGGGTAGTATTTGCGCATTTTGCGGCCGGTTGCGTTCCTCCAGGCGGTCCAGAGGTACAGGAGTTCGTCTGGGTTGCGACTGGTTGCCATACGTTCGGTAATTTCTAAAAATACAAAAAAAATATGCTAAGTTTGCTAAGAACCGATTACAAAAATTTAAAACCGGTTTAGGTATTATAAGTACTAGCTTTTGTCAGTTTTGTGCGACGATCGGCCAAGCCGTTTCTTTGTTAATAGCAAAACCTGTGATATTTTTTGAAATGCTATCGATATTCGGATTCTATTCAAAAAGACCTTTCAAATGATACCCCACATGCTATAAATCGTACAAACTAAAATTTTGAAGTAAAACTTCTTTACGCTGTTCTGGTGCAATTTTGTAAAATGTGTATATTTGGTGGACAAATCACATAGTTAATTTAACTAGTGTTTGCAACAAACGTTTTACACTTCATATAATTAGAAAAAAAATAAAAAAATCAACGTTCGATTATTTTGTCTCTGTCGTTTTTCTGTCAATAGCAGAAATTTGTGTTATTTTTTTTAAATGCTCTTAGTATTCGGATTCTATTTAAAAAGACCTTTCAAATGATACCCCACATGCTATGAATCGTGCGAACTAAAATTTTGAAGTAAAACTTCTTTAGACTGTTCTGGTGCAATTTTGTAAAATGTGTATATTTGGTAAGTAAAACTTTTTTACGCTGCTCTAGTGCAATTTTGTAAAATGTGTAAATTTTTTGGATAAAAAATAGTTAATTTTAGATATTACAAGTGTACACATCACATATTCAAAAACAAATCTTTAAAATTTAACTTCTTAATTTTGTTTGCAATATAATATCAAGTTTTTATTACAATACAACTATTTTTTTTGTAAAAATCTACTCGTCTAGACCTTTCAAACAATACCCTACATGTCATAAAAGATACAAGCTAAATTTTTTTAAGTAAAACTTCTTTAAGCTCGTTTACTAAAAATCCGTTAAAAGTGTATTTTTTGTGGACAAATCACATAGTTACTTGCAGTATTCGATTCAAAATTTGACGCCTCACATATTTAAAAAAAATCTCTAAATTTTAACGTTTTGCAATAAAATATTACGTTTTTAGTACAATATAATTTTTTTGAGAAACTCGTTTTCTACTCGTCGAGACCTTTCAAACGATACCCCACACGCCATACAAAATGCAATCTAAATTTTTTGAAGTAAAACTTCTTTAATCTCTTTTACTACAAATTCATAAAAAGTGTAAATTTTGTGGACAAATCACATACTTAATTTTAGTATTTGCTACAAAAGTCTTACACCTTACATATTTTAAAAAAAAATTAGTTAATTTTAACATTCTAATTTGCAAATTACGCTCAATTATTATTAAACCCAATTTTTTTCGAAAATTGTTTTTTACTCGTCGAGACCTTTCAAACGATACCCCACAAGCTATACAAGATACAATCTAAATTTTTTGAAGTAAAACTTTTTGAAGCTTGTCTACTACAACCTCATTAAAAGTATATATTTTATGGCCCTAATGCCACTTACACCAAGTTTTTTATTTATTCACCTGGTTCTAGTCTCATTCCACATTCGTCGCAATTCTTGTATTCGCAAATTGTAGCTGTGCTATATATAGTTTCCATAGTTTTCACAATGTTTCCCAGCTATAAAAAACAGTTGAAAATAAAATTTTTTGTTTATCTTTACGTTTCAGAGGTTTCTGAACATTTTGAGAAAAAAAAGATGTATGTGTGTGCGTACAGATACAAATTTTGTTTGTACAATTTCTGGCGTCGATGATTCTGGGCGAACGGTTTAACCGATTAGAATGATTTAAAAAACATTTGAATCGTATTGATGGGGAGATATGCTGATTAGTTTTTGGTAAAGGCAGGTCCAGTAGTTTCGAAGGTACGGAGCAAAAAGTGCCAAAAATAAAAATCGAGTTTTTGAGAGAACCGAGCGTCCGATTTGAATGATTCAAAAAACATTCGACTTGTATTGTACAGAAATATGTCTTAATGCACTACTAGTTCATCTTACCTTGGTAAATTTTCGATCAGATAATGCCGACGTTATATTTACGTTTCAGGGGTTTCTGAACATTTTGGCATACATTAGAAAAAGTGTCTGTGTGCGGATACAATTTTTTGTGTCGACGATTCTGGGCGAACGGTTTAACCGATTTGAATGATTCAAAAAACATTCGATTTGTATTGATTGGGAGAACTGGTGATTACATTTTGGCAAAGGCAGGTCCAGCCGTTACGGAGATACGGAGCAAAGAATGCAGAAAATAGAAATCGAGTTTTTGAGAGAACCGAGCGTCCGATTTGAATGATTCAAAAAACATTTGACTTGTATTTTACTACTAGTTTATCTTACCTTGGTATATTTTCGATCAGACAATGCCGACGGTCCCATCTTCAAAAGAAAAGCAACTTGACGTTGAACATCGGGGCAAGCGTCCTTCAGATCGAATTCGCGCAAAGTTCTATTCAATTTTGCGATAAGTCTTCGCTCGGCCTTAATCGCTCTTAGAGATGCCCTCGTCTGTAAAAGATAATGTAGAAATATATTTTTCATCTTTTTTAAAAATTGACATTGCTACTGCATGATAGATTTTATAATTTTGTCTAAATGGCACTAAGGTCACAAAATATTATGAATTTGTAGTAAACGAGTCAAAAAGTTTTACTTCAATAAAATTTAGATTGTAGCTTTTATGGCATGTGGGGTATCGTTTGAAAGGTCTCGACGAGTAGAAAACGATTTTCACAAAAAAATGATATAATAATTTTTTTTGCAAAAAATTTGCAAATTAGAATGTTTAAATTAACTAATTGTTTTAAAAAAAATCTGTAAGTGTAAGACTTTTTGTAGAAACTACTAAATTGAGTATGTGATTTGTCCACAAATATAAACATTTTACGAATTTGTAGTAAACAAGCTTAAAGAGTTTCACTTCAAAAATTTAGATTGTCCACAGCGAGTTATGGCAAGGCCATGTTACGCTCCAACTCGCATACATTATGCTACTAAATCATACTGTCAAAATGTCGTGTATTTGCTGCTGTGCATTGAGGCGTTTTACCGTAAACTGCAACGTCACTCGTATGTTCTATGAAGCCAAGTCAAAAACCACCCCGTTATTTAACCATCATTTTTTTAGGACATTTGTGCGGTTTCTACGTTAGGTTTTCTATCTGACAACCTGAGAAATACTCCCGACTGCACAGCAACCGTATGGATTTTGTCAATTATTCAGTATGGAAAGTTCTTCATACATAGCCTTGCCATAACATTGGTTTTCTTACCGATAATTCTTGCGTAGTTTGATTAACGTTTCGTCTCGTAAGCCCATGAGCCAAGGCGTTTCGGTTGTACTCTTCTGCAAGTTGACGAGTCACTCTTTCTTTCAAACCTGAAATGTTAAAAAATAAATAATATGAATAAGAAATTGTAATAAATAAAACCCTAGGCGAATGTGGCATTCTGAGGCAAGTTGTAAGAATTTTCAGATATGTGGTACTTCAATAAAATTTAGATTGTAGCTTTTATGGCATGTGGGGTATCGTTTGAAAGGTCTCGACGAGTAGAAAACGATTTTCACAAAAAAATGATATAATAATATTTTTTGCAAAAAATTTGCAAATTAGAATGTTAAAATTAACTAATTGTTTTAAAAAATATGTAAGGTGTAAGACTTTTGTAGAAAATACTAAAATTGAGTATGTGATTTGTCCACAAAATATAAACATTTTACGAATTTGTAGTAAACAAGCTTAAAGAAGTTTCACTTCAAAAAATTTAGATTGTCCACAGCGAGTTATGGCAAGGCCATGTTACGCTCCAACTCGCATACATTATGCTACTAAATCATACTGTCAAAATGTCGTGTATTTGCTGTGCATTGAGGCGTTTTACACGTAAACTGCAACGTCACTCGTATGTTATGAAGCCAAGTCAAAAACACCCCGTTATTTAACATCATTTTTTTAGGACATTTGTGCGGTTTCTACGTTAGGTTTTCTATCTGACAACCTGAGAAATACTCCTGACTGCACAGCAACCGTATGGATTTTGTCAATATTCAGTATGAAAGTTCTTCATAGCATAGCCTTGCCATAACATTGGTTTTCTTACCGATAATTCTTGCGTAGTTTGATTAACGTTCGTCTCGTAAGCCCATTGAGCCAAGGCGTTTCGGTTGTACTCTTCTGCAAGTTGACGAGTCACTTCTTTCAAAACCTGAAATGTTAAAAAATAAATAAATATGAATAAAGAAAATTGTAATAAAATAAAACCTAGGCGAATGTGGCATTCTGAGGCAAGTTGTAAGAATTTTCAGATATGTGGTAATTATCAATTGGAATAATGGTAATTTGATTTTTACCGCTGGACCTGCCTTTTCCGAAAACTAATCAGAACGTCCCGTCAATACGAATACAATGTTTTTTTTTTGAATTATAATAGTCATCAATTTGATTTCGAATAAAATTTTCGATTTTTTTTTCAAAATTTTCGAAAAAATCTACCTTTTTCAAAAATTTCAATTTTCTAATTTTCACGTTTTCCAAATATTTAAAATATTTATAATTCAAGCATATTGTTTCAAAATTAAAATAAAAAATATTTTTTTAGTTTTATGGTTTTCAAAATTGTCAAACATTTTTTTCAAAACTATAAAAACAATTTTTTTCAAAAATCCGTAAAAAATTTAAAAATTTCAGAAAATAAGTGGAAACACACCAAACAATTTATTTTAACGTTTGTATCAATAAAAAAAAGTAAAAAAAAATCAAAATTTTTCAAAGAAGGAATGATCTTGAATAAACTTTACGATTTTTTTCAAAATTTTCAAAATAAAATCAGATTTTTTCAATATTTACGAAAAAAATCAGTTTTTAATTTTAAAGTTTCAAATTTTTCAAAAGTTCAAAAAATACTTTTCAAAATGATGAAAATTTGTTAAAATATGCAAACAATTTCAAAAATATCAAAAATGACTTGAATATACATCATACATGCGATTGTAACATTTATATTTTTTATAAAAAATAATTTAATTGAAAATTTGAAAAAAAATTGATTTTTATTAAAATTTCAGTTTTTTTTTTCAAAATGAAAAAAGTTTCTTTTTTAACGTTTTCAAAATTAAAATTAAAAAAAAAACTTATCAAAATAAAGAAAAAGATTTATTTAAAAAACTTCTTTTTTCATTGATAATTATCAAAAACATTGATTTTGAAAAAAATTTTTGACCTATCTCAAAATTTTCAAAGCAAAATCAGATTTTTTCAATATTCTCAAAAAATTTCATTTTTTTATTTTATTTTAAATATCAGAAATATGGGTCAAACAAGCAATTTTCCTTATTTATATTTTTCAAAAACAATATTTATTCAAAATTTTCAAAAAAAGAGATTTTTATTAAAATCTTAGTTTTTTTTAGAATAAACAAACAAATATCATAATTTCCACAAAATTTCATTTTTAAAGTTTTCAAAATGTTTAAAATTTTAAAAATTCAAAATTTTTTGCAATCAATTCACTGCAAAATATTTCAAATTTTTTCAGTTGTATATTTTCAAAATAATGAAAATAAAAAAAACTTCTAAATGAAACAATTTTTTTTTTTCAAATCCGCAAAAATGTCAAAAGTATTAAAAATGAGTGTCGGATATACATTAAACATGACTATTCTAAAATTTGTAAAATTTTAAAAAACCTTGATTCTGAATGAATTTTTGAATTTTTCAGAAAATTCAAATATTTCAAATTTTCGAAAATGATCAAATTTTCAATTTTAATGTTTTCAATACTTCCAAAAAATAATAAAATTTAAATAAAACTTTTCAAAACGTAAATGTATCAAAAAGAAAAATATTCTTTTTCAAAAATTTCAATGAATTTTAATTTTTAAATTCTAATGTTTTTCAAAAATTTGTTTATTAAACTTTAAATTGAAAATTTTGAAATCATTTTGTTTTAAAATTCACAAAAAATTTAAAATATCAAAAACTTTAATTTCGGTGTGCAGTTTTGCAATGTATATATTTCTTATGTAATTCTTAAAAATTATTTTGTTTATTTACTTTCTATGTAAACATATACAAACGTCATCGTCCAATTTATAAGCTCTTATATTTTGTCTATAAAATAAGAGAAATGAAAGTAACAGTATTTATAAGAATCCATTTAGAAACATTTAAAAATCCTCAAATATTCCTTTACGGTACAAAAAGCTCTAGCAATTTTCCTTAAAACCATACACCACTAGTTCATTATTAATGAACATTTATGGGCCGAAAATCGAAAATGAAAATTTTTGCATTTCTCGACGTTTTGAAGGTTTCTGAACATTTTACTGGCATATCTTAGGAACAAAATGAATGTGTGTGTGTGAAAAGTTCTTGCAATTCGCTTTAAGACCATACACCACTAGTTCATTATCATTATTGTTACCTCAGAAATGCGTTCATTAGCATGATTATTCCTCTTCTCGAGTGGCCCAAAAACTCCGTCTAGAGAATCGGGTTCGACTATACTAGAAAAGTAGGAAATATTGTCGTTGTTTCTATTCATCTGCTGCAGGGAAACTTTGCCATCATCGTTATTTCTGCTGACCTGCTGCATGAACCATCGCCTTCGTCGTCGTCAATCTGCATATTGTAATCTAAATATTGTAAAGGTATTCTGACAGTTCTTATATATATATATATATATATATATATATATATATATATATATATATTTGTAATAATTTTGCAGCCCAATCCTCGAATTAAAAAAAAAAAACAAAATTATTTATTTCATTAAACGTTTCGACACTTGATGTGTGTCATTATTCAGTAATCTAAAAAACATTACATAAATACAAAGTTGATGATAAATATAAATATATAAAAAAAGGAGAAAATTATACATACCGAACCAGGAAAAACAACAGAAAAAATTAATTATGTTGTAAAATTGATTGAACACTAAGTTTGTGTAAAATAATTAAATACTATTATATTAACAAACGAGAAATTGAAGGAGCACATATTGCCCTCCTATATTTAATGTTATTGATAGCGGTGCATTGTGGACACTGATCAAGGTTACAAAGCAAGTGTAGTGAGGGAGTGGGAGCGAGTTGTGAGAAACGAAAGGGGAAAGAGAAACAGAGAAGAAATATAACAAACGAAAGATTCTAAAACTGTATAGAATTACTTTTCATGAAATTAATGATGACTTTTTAATTCGACGATTGGGCTGCAAAAATATTACAAATATGTATCAACGTCGACAAAACTATCATCATATATATTTATATTTATTACAACAATTCATTATATTTGTAACAAATATATATATATATATATATATAATATATTTATATTATATTTAAATTTCTTATTTACCATTTTCTTCCAAACTCCTACGTTGGCGAATGTTTAAGCAAAGAACGATGTTTCCAAATATCAATTGCAATATAAAAATATATATAAAAACGTGCAACGCGCGCATAGTTATGGTTTTATTAAATATAAATAAAATATTTTTAGAAAAAACAAAAGCGACTGTCAAAGTGACATTTTGTTAAAAGTCCGGTTGATGAAACATCAGGGCCCTATTATCTCAGAACAAAATCCGCCTTCACAAGGGCTACTTCAAGGTCCAATTGTAGTCGCTAGTGAGCCGATGAAAAAGTATTATCAAATGTTTTATGTTGGTTTAAGAAACGTCGGTGTTAGTTTTGTATCAGTTAACAAAATGGTGATTCTTGTTCATTTGTGTTCGTACATTCATTAATAAAAATTTCATTAGGCATAGCCCTTTGATAAAATGAATGAAGCATAAAACTAAGATACAGGGCATAAGTTCTACGTAATGCATTGACAGATTAGTCTAATCATAATACACTTTAAGGGGGTTGTTCTTTTTTTTGTTACAAAACATGCAAAGTATTTGTTTTTGTTTTTTTCGAAATGTATTTATCATAAAGACATGCGGTTTTTTTAAACAAAAATTTCACAAATCATAGATTAAGAATTTTTTTGTTTTTTTTTTCGCCGTCATTTTTTACCGGGGGGCGCCAAAGTGGGCATTGCAAAATCGATCTCGTTTGCGGTGCCACAGATAAATCCGTTGCGCATCGCCCGCGACCGAAACAAAAAAAAAAACGAAACTACGTTGAAGAAGAAGTTTGAATCCAGTCCCCCCTAAAATGAACAAAGCGAAGAAAAAAAAAAAAACAATAGGAAAAAATGGCAGCTTATTAAAAAAAAGTGTCAAAAATAGCCTTTTTTTTGGACGAGAAGGTTCGCAAAATTTTTTTGCGTAATGTTATCAAGTTGTTTGAGGTAGGGGGACTAGGTATTGCAGTGGTGAACAAATTAAAAAAAAATTCAAGTCGATCCGACTTGTAGTTTTTTTTTATTTTTTGGCACCGCATTGAAAAAAGTCAATTTGAGAAAAACGTATTTAAAGTTTTTAATATAATGTACTAAATACACCATTTAATTTAATGTACGAAATACACCATCGTGTTCAAAGATGCTGACACATTAAAAAGGTCATGTGCATGAGGTATTATAATAAAAAAGAGACAGCTGGCATACAATAGCTCGCAAAACGATAAAAAAACGCTTTCAGAGGATCATACGTATAGAGATATATATATCTACAACTTCGTCAAAAAAATAGATATTGTGATGATTTTTTTTTTTAAATCATTCTAAGGCTTTTAGCTTTCATAATATCAAAAAATCTCAAAACCGAAACAAAGAAAAATAAAAAAAGAACAACCCCCTTAAGGAAAGAGGTCAGTTGTAGGAGATTATGTAAGAAATCAAGTATAGGCTTCTGCAAGAAAGACAATATTTAGAAATCTTTCAGCTGTGAAAAATTGTATTACCACTTTGAATTATGTCTAAATGAACAATTTAGACATAAGTACATCGAATTATCAGATATTTTATAGAGATTTTAATAATGTGTTCACATTTCGTGTCAATTTTTTTGGGTTCCGTACCAAGATTTTTAACTTCCCGAAGGAAAAGTTTATGTTTTCATCAAAAAATCCGACTCGCTAATTTTATGTTTTCTCGACGTTTCAAGCCATTTTGAATGGAATGAGACCAAATTTGTAAAAAGTATGTGTGTGTGTGTTCGTGTGTTTACAGATTTTTTGCCGTGAATCGACGTTTTCTCAAAAACGGCTTTACCGACTTCCAAAATTTAAAAGACATTCGATGTATCTCGATGTATCTTGATGAGGACTATTGTTTGTCAATGTTTGTCAGTGTTTGACAGTTTGTGCAACGATTGGCAAAGCCGTTTCTTTATAAATCGCAGATTTTTTTTGACGGTAGATACCATAGTCTTCTAAATCATACTAAAATATTACCGCCCTACGACAACTCGTTTAGCTTTAAAAATTCGTCAAAGTTTACAAAAATTGGTACCGTTTTTTTGGCATTTGTCAAAATTAGACCTTTCATCGACGTTTGCTCAAAAACGCCTGAACCGATTTCAGAAATTTAAAAGCCATTCAATGTATCTCAATGAGCACTATAGCTTGAAAGTTTTGTGAGACGATCTGCCGAGCAGTTCCTTTGTAATTTGAAAAAGAGTGTTAAACTTTTCGTCCACATTTAAGCTCATTCTACCGAATTGATTTTAAAAAATCAAAAACTGTTCGAAAGATATTAGTTGGGAATGATACTGATTAGTTTTAGGTGAAAACCCACCGAGCCGTTTTCTTGTAATTAACTGTTGAAAAAAAAAATTAAGCCGATTTTTATGAAACTGTCTTTGGCGATGTATATCATAGTCTTATAGAACTTACTGAAATATTTTACTTACGTCAAGTAGTTTAATTTTAAAACTTCATCAAAGGTTGGGAAAATGAGTAGTTTTTTTGACGTTTGTTAAAATTAAAATTATATGATTTACTTGGTGTAGAGTGTTTGTTTGTTTTCAATGATGTGTAATAAATCCACTCGGAATACTTTTAATCGCTCATAAATTAATTTATATTTTATTGATTAGATCAATTATTTACACATATCGGGAAGTTCATGTAACTTGCCTCGAGGCTAAATACCAATACCAACTAGTTAATTTTGAAGTTCATTTATATGGTTCAAACAAATGTCCTCGAAATTTTCGACAATATGATTGAAAAAACATTCAGTTCGTACTGAATCGCGAGGCGTTTTTGCAAAAGGCACATCTAGCCGTTCCGGAGGTATGGAGCGCAAAGGGTGTAAAACCGTTATGCAGTTTTTGAGAGAACTGATCATCCGATTAGATTAATTCAAAAAACCATTTGTTTGTGTAGACATGGGCAAAAAATGCATTTACAGAAAATTTAGTGATTAAAAATTTTTTTAAAAACAAATTTAAAGTTTCAAAAACTATAATTTTCGAAATTTTACATTATTTTCAAAATAAAAACATAAACTACTCCTTCGGGAAGTTAAAAATTTAAAAAATTGCCTAGGCTAAGCACAGTCTAAGCGCCACTCTGGTACAAATGTTTTTGCAAGTGCGTTTAGACTGTTCGTGTACTGGAACACTTTTGCAATTTTGTGTGAAAACTATTGAAAAATGTGAAAATGCCGCCAAGCTGAGCACAGTATAAGTGAAAATGTCGCATGGAATTCTTGCAACGGGTGCACTTTTTCAATTTTGTGCAAATTAGGCAACTTTTTTTTTGAAATTGATTGATTCGAAATGAAATTACGATTGTTAATGTTCCAGGAGATGAATTGGTTTATGATCTATGATTTACATTTGATTTGCTCACTCAGATATAACAAACAAGATAGCAAAAATAATGAAAGTTACAGTATTTGTAATAATATATTTGAAAACGTTTAAAATTTCTCGAATGTTTCATTACGGTTCGGGACGTTCCTGCAATTTACCTTAAGGCAAAAGGGACTCTACTGACAAGCAACTGGAATATCAAAGCAGTTAAATGAAATGTAAGGACTTTACTGACTAGCAAACTTGTTTCCGGGATAGAAATTAGTAAAATAATTAATTTTAATGACAAAAAGGGACTGCACTGACGAGCAACTTAAATCCGTTCTAACGTTTAAAATTTCTCGAATATTTCTTTACGGTACGGTAAGTTCCGGCAATTTGCCTTAAGGCACGATGCCATACACCACTAGTTCTGTTACTTACCAGAAGTCGTGTCCGTTTCATCAACGACAAGAGTTATATTTTCCACTGTAGAAACTGTTACATTGACCGGTGTGATCTGTAACAATACTAATGGATTGATTTAACCCCAAATTCAACCCCATTGGGGTTGAATTTTTTTTCCTCAATAGCCTGCTCGTTCATGATCCTCAAAGACCCCAAATAACTAATCAGTTTGTCCAATTGATGGTTGTCTAAATGTTTAAACAGTTGTATCATAGCGTACTTCATAGAGGCGCCGTTTGAAGTCAACGGAAGACAGTCGGAATCATTGGTATGTCACCAAATCGCCAGCAATTTTTGATTGAAGGGTGTGATCATGAAATTAGGCGTGTACATCGTTATTATTTGCGGCAAGAATTGCTCGTTGACTTAACCAAGCTAATTCTTATAATTCTCACTAATGTCATTACTCGAATTTTTAATTACGGTGCGTGAAGTTTCAGCAATTTGAATTAAGGCACGATGCCTTAACCTATAAACCTTGCGGAGCCCGAGACCTTCCAACGAATGCAAAATTGTCGAAATCGGTTTGTGCGTTCTGAAGTTATTTCGTCAGGAAGGAAAACCCGACTTATTTTTATATATATGTAGATAATATAGAAAAACTTGATTAAATTGCATAAACTAGTGGTGTATGGCATCGTGTCTTAAGGCAAATTGCTGGAACTTCCCGTACCGAAAATTGAAATTATCACTAAACCTTTGAAATATTTGAAAACTGAAAAAAATGAGATATTTGACAATTTTGAAGACATTTTGGAAATACTTAATTTTTTTTTATATTTCAAATTTTTTTTTACACTTTTTACCATTTTTCTGACAATTTTGAATTTTTTTTTCAAAGCAATCGTGCTGTGTGGCTGTTTTATGCAGAAATATCAAGGCGTGTAAGCGCCGCATCGCAGTCTAACGGATAAACAATGTTACAGAACCCATAGGAATGTAAACAAAATTTATACTTATTGTTAAAATCTCTATAAAATATCTGATAATTTGATGTGCATATGTCTAATGCTCATTTTTGACTGCCAAATGGCATTTTTTTTCACTTTTTTCTCTATATTTCCAAAACCTCTAGACCTGCCTTCATGAAAATTTGATCATTTCTTCATCTTATTAATACAAGTAAAAAGTTTTTTGAATCATCCAAATCGGACGCTCCGTTCTCTCAAAAACTGAATTTTTATTTTTTAACTTCCCGTAGGACAAGTTATAGTAATCGCAAAAAAATCGAAAATGAAAATTTTTATATATCTTTACGTTTCAGAGGTTTCTGAACATTTTGGCATACCTTAGAAAAAATGGATGTGTGTGTGTGTGCGTGTATGTGTGCGTGTATGTGTATGTATGTGCGTATACAAATTTTCGTCGACGATTTCGGGAACACGGATCATCCGATTTGAATATTTCAAAAAACATTCGATTCGTATTGATGAGGAGACGTGCTGATTAGTTTTTGGCGAAGGCAGGTCTAGCCGTTTCGAAGATATGGGGCAAAAAGTGCCAAAAATGGTAACTCAGTTTTTAAGAGAACGGAGCGTCCGATTTGAATAATTTTGAATTGCTCGTCAGTAGAGTCCCTTTCCATCAAAAATTAATTATTATTCTGATTTGTGATTCAAGTTGCTTGTCAGTAGACTTTTTCTAATGAACATACATCAATATCAACTATTTTGCAAATTTTTAAAGTTGCTCGTCAATAGAGTCCATGTTCTGCCCAAAAAAATTATTTATTTTACTAATTTCTGTCAAATATTTAAGTTGCTCGTCGGTAAAGTCTCTTTTCTGCTAAAAAAATAATTTCTCTAATTTCTATCCAAGATTCATGTTGATCGTCAATAGAGTCCTATTTCTGCCAAAAAATTTAATTATTTTACTAATTTCTGTCAATTATTTAAGTTGCTCATCAGTAGAGTCCTTTTTCTGCCAAAAATGATTTTTTTCTCTAATTTCTATCCAAGATTCATATTGATCGTCAGTAGTCTCTTTTCTATCACTAAAATTAATTATTACTTTAATTTTTGTCTTCGATTCATGTTGCTTTACAGTAAAGTCCTTTCTTAAGAGAAGATTAAGATTGCTCGTCAGTAGAGTCCTTTTTCTAACATTAAAATCAATTATTTTAGTCAAAATTTAGGTTGTTTATCAGTAGAGTCCCTTTTCTTATATCAAAACCATAAAACCAAAAAGTTTCTTACTAGTAGATTCCCTTTGTGTTTATTACAAATTACTGAATTCATTTTCGATTCAATTGCTTGTCAGTAGAGTTCAGATCCTTCATTTTCCCAAAAACACAATTCACATTTTTGGCACTTTTTGCCCAGTATCTCCGAAACAACAGGACCTGCCTTGGCCAAAAACCAATCAACACATCTCCCTATCAATACAAATCGAATGTTTTTTGAACAATTCAAATCGGTGGATCCGTGCTCTTGTAATCGTCGACGAAAGATTTTTGTATCCGCACATACATACATACACAAGTGCAAAAAATTAAAATTCAGTTTTTGAGAGAACGGAGCGTCCGATTTGGATGATTTAAAAAAATTAAATTAGGAAAGCACAGCCTAAGCGTCACTCTGGTACAAATGTTTGCCCAAGTGCGTTTAGACTGTTTATCTACTGGAGCACTTTTTCAATTTTGTGAAAACTATTGAAAAATGTGAAAATGCCGCCAAGCTAAGCACAGTATAAGTGAAAATGTCGCACAGAATTATTTGCAAATGCGTTTAGACTGTGACTGTACGGGAGCACTTTTTTAATTTATTGCAAATTAGACAACTAAACTATTTTTTTGAAATTGAATTTGAAATGAAATGACGATTGTTAATGTTCTGGAGATAATTTGATTTATTTATGATTTACATTTGATTTGCTCAGATATAACAAACAAGATAGCAAAAATAATGAAAGTTACAGTATTTGTAATAAAACGTTTAAAATTTCTCGAATATTTCATTACAGTACGGGAAGTTCCGGCAATTTGCCTTAAGGCACGATGCCATACACCACTAGTTAAAAATGATTTCTATATTATTCGTTGTTTCTATGAATCTTTGAAGTTATTAATATGGAAAATATTTTTTAGACAAGACAGATATTACAGCTGTAGAAAGAATGAGATTATATCGCCAGCGAAAAAGTAAAATAAAAAATACAAGCAGTCAATGAATGTATGTTAATTTTAGTTACATGAAGTTCTTCAAACACAATTATTACATGATGAGTGAAATTGTGAAAATAATATTTGTTTGGGCGTTGTTTAACATAATCCACTGTGTGAACGAATATTATAGAATATATTAATCAGCAATTAATTCATTTCTCCACTAAAGGTTCATTTCTAAATGCTAATTGCAATGACAAACCGATCATGTCATATTTGAAGTATGACTTTATTTGCATTATTGTTTTTAAATATTATACATATTTTAATGCTGTTAAGAATTTATAATAATTTATAATTTAACATTATATAAATATTAGGCTTGCACCGAATATTTGATTACTATTCGGTATTCGGCATATTCGGCACCTTTTTTACTATTCGGCCGAATACCGACTAGTAACTAACTATTCGGCCGAATACCGAATAGTTGAAATCAAAGGCGCCGCCGCCGCTCAGCGATAGCATTGTTGGTGTTTTATTTTTTATGCGATAAAGAACTCGCGATGGATCTGTCTTTGGAAGTGTTTAGTTTACATAATATGATATGAAAGAAATTATTTCGTTACTGTATATATAATAATTTAATCTTTATCGACTTTTGACATTATCAATGAACACGCGAAAAACTTTTTCTGAATATTCACAAGATACTCCATTGTTACATGTTTATATTATTTAATATGAATCAATCCATGGTTACACGCATATGTTGTATTAATAAAATAAAATCATTTATTATTTTCTACTTTGTACAGTAGCAAATAAATTCTACTTCAATAGCGTGTGAACCTTACGCGCACTCTTTTTTTTTCTCTAAATCTCAATTTCGTTTGATTAAGTCAATTATTACACCTACTTACAACTTGCCTAAGGCAAAATATCACTTTCAACTATCATTTATTACCTGGCAACTGCAATTTTCGCTCTCCGGTAACTTCTTAGTATTCGCCTGCTGAAGTACAAACAGCGGCACAATCGCCCTTAGCAATTCCTCCTCATCGGGTATAAGATGTTTGCTAGTTTCCAACATTTTGATGACATTCGGTACCCTATTGCTCGTAGTCTGGTTCAAATTCTCATCAGACATCATACAGGTGGTAGTGGTAGTAGTACATTTCCTGGTATGGTGGTGTTCATTGCATCTTCTCGGCGGTGATACAGTTGAAATCCGTATCTCTTGGTTGATTTTGATATTAGGGTACTGGGTTCCGTAATAAGGAGCCGGTGTGTGGGTATGTCTTGTGGGTGTCATAGGGGTTGTGGTAAGGGTTGTAGGGTATGATGATGATGCTCGTTTTATGTAGGTTTTGAGGAGGTTCAAAAGGCGCGATTGGCGGTCTTCGTCTTCGGCTTTGTGGTATGATTCGTCGTTGGAATCCTAAGGAAAAAATGAGTTTTAGTAATTAAGGTATAGTGATTGTTCAAAAATCGGAAATCGAAAATTTTTGCATATCTATACCCCAAGTTTGGTTTTTCAATAACACTCGATTTTTTATGTACATAAGATCTTGTTAACTTTATTGTCTTCTCCCGACTTTTTCCCACTTGACGCAAATATCTTGAGGAAGCTGTTTCCGCCTATATTTTTATTTTACGATTTCATATATTTTTACGTTTCAGGGGTTTCTAAACATTTTGGTATACCTTACAATTAGAAAAAATGGATGCATGTATGTGTATATGTGTGTGTGTACAATTACAAATTTTCGATCGTCGACGATTTTGGGAACACAGATCATAAGCAACACCCTATCTTTGAAGAAAAGTTCAAAATTTTCAGAAAAATTCAAATTATATATTTTTCAAAATTTTAAAAAAATATCAAGTTTTTCAAAAAGCACAATTTTTTCCAGTTTCAAAATTAAAAAAATCTCATTTTTTCAAAAATTCAAAGTATGAAAAAGTCAAAATTTAAATAATTAATCAAATTTTTCAAAAATGACAATTTTTTCCAAAAATTTCAAAATTATAAAATATTTTTGCTTTCAAAGTTTTCGAAAAATTTTAAAGTTTTTTTCAAAAATTTGAAATTACAGTAAGGGAAGTTCCAGCAATTTGATTTAAGGCACGATGCCATGCACCACTAGTTCCAAATTATTACGAGAAAAAGGACACTACTGACGAACAACACTAATAAAAATTTGTAAAATAATTAATATCAATGTATTTTTAAACATTATTTTATCTTTGATAAAATAGACATGTTTTTTATGGGTCTATATTCGTATGAGTTCGCAGTCACAATCGTCAGAAAAATAAATCTTTGCTGTTCGATCAAGCATTTTACACATGAAATCTAACCTCCAAATGTCACAAGCCTCACAATATTAACTTTGGTTAGGCTTCACATATGTGTGATCAATGAGACATTAAAAACTTTTGCCTTTTGGAGTTTAGGTTTTAGATGATTCATAACATAGGAGAATATTTATGCACCAATTCTCTTATGTTATGGATCACCTAAAACCTTACCTCCAAAAGGCATAAGTTTCTAATTTCAAGGTTTTTAACTTCCCTTAGGGCAAGTTATAGTGATCCCAAAAAAAAATCGAAAATGAAAATTTTTATATATCTTTACGTTTCGAAGGTTTCTGAATATTTTGGCATACCTTAGAAAAAATGGATGTATGTGTGTGTGTGTGTTCGGATACAAATTTTCGTCGACGATTTAGGGGAACACGGATGAAGCTATTCAAATAATTCAAAAAACATTCGATTCGTATTGATAAGAAAACGTGCTGATTAGTTTTTGGCGAAGGCAGGTCTAGCCGTTCCGAAGATATGGGGCAAAAAGTGCCAAAAACGGTAACTCAGTTTTTAAGAGAACGGAGCGTCCGATTTGAATAATTCAAAAAACATTTTATTTGTATTAATAAGATGAAGAGCTGATCAAATGTAGGCAGGTCTAGCGGTTTCGAAGATCTAGTGAAAAAAGTAAAAAAATGCCATCCGGCGGTCAAAAATGATCATTAAACATATGCACATCAAATTATCAGATATTTTATAGAGGCTTTAACAATAAGTATAAATTTTGTTTGCATTCCTATGGGTTCCGTACTAATATTTATCCGTTAGACGGCGACGGGGCGCTTACGCGTTTCGATATTTTCACTCTACGCAGTTAAAGCAGTACGATTGCTTTGAAAAAAAGTTCAGAATTTCCAAAATATTTCAAAATAAATTTTTCTTCAAAAAGTCTTTTTTCTTCCAAAAAAAAAGTAAATTTTTGTCAAAAATTTATAGTTTCTCAAAAGTATAATTTTTTCAGAGTAATTTTTTTTTAAAAATGTTAATCTTATTAAAAAAAATAATAATTTTTGGTACGGGAAGTTTCCGCAATTTGCCTTAAGGCACGATGCCATGTGCTTCACTAGTTAATAATTCAAATCTGTTGATCCGTGCGCCCGAAAACGTGGACGAAAAAATGCGGACATTCTGAGGTATGCCAGTAAAATGTTCAGAAACCTTCAAAACGTGAAGAAATGTAAAAAATGCATTTTTGATTTTCGGCTCAATACTATAACTACCCTACGGGAGGTTAATAAAAATATTAATAAACACTAGTAATAGTAAAATTCGAAAGAAATCTTTAAGGAAATAAAAAAAAATTAATTATTTACTACACATATACTAGACTAGAATTATAAATAAGCATTTTATATCATTTTGAAACAGGGTTATGAGAAACATAAAATATTAGGAAAAAAAGAAACTTTATGAGAAACTTCTTGTAAAATATCAAAATTATTTAAAAAATCGTAAAATAAATGTGTTAAATGGGCAAATGTTTGATTTCATAGCTTGATGAAATATGAATAAATCATAAGAAATATATGTGAAAAATAATTTTTTACTATCTAGTAGTAAAAAATTGTTTTTCACATATATTTCATTATGATTTATTCATATTTTATCTAGTTATAAAATCAAAAATTTGTCCATCGTCCACGATCTGCATTTTCAGACTCGTTGAATTAAAAATTTTGTAAATTATCATTTACCTCATATTTTTGCCTCGATACATCAACCTTCTTATAATCTTCTTCATCCCTCTTTTTCTCCTCTCGTTCTTTCTTGTGCTCTTTCTTATATTTCTTGTCTTTTTGATTTTCTATCTTGTCCTCTTCCTTATCTTTCTTGTCCTCTTCTTTCTCTTTCTTGTCCTCTTCCTTCTCCTTCTTGTCTTTTTGATTTTCTATCTTGTCCTCTTCCTTCTCTTTCTTATCCTTTTGATTATATGTTTTGTACTCTTCCCTCTCTTTCTTGTCCTCTTGATTTTCTATCTTGTCCTCTTCCTTCTCTTTCTTGTCCTTTTGATTATATTTCTTGTCTTCTTCCTTCTCTTTCTTGTCCTCTGTCTTATCTTTCTTGTCCTCTTCCTTCTATTAAAAATGATTTAATTTTGAAGGCGGTTGAAACATATTTTCAAATTAATTTACAATGATAGATTACCAAACAATTTTGCATCACTATAGCATATAAAATAATATTTAATATCATGGGTCGATAATAATAATTAATTTTGAAGGATTTTTGATAAAAAGGACCTTACTGACGAGCAATGTGAATAATGGAGAAGTAAAATAATTAATTTGGAGAAAAGGGACTCTACTGACGAGCAACTTGAATAATGAATTTAAAAATAATTGATTTTGAGAAAAAGGAGTGTACTGACAAGCAAATTGGATAACCTATAAGCGATGTAATCAATTTTTTGGCAGAAACGGGACTCTACTGACGAGCAACTTGAATAACAAACCAGTGAAATAATTACTTTTGGGAAAAGTGACTTAACTGACGAGCAACATCAAAAATTTGTAAGATAGTCAATATTAATGTATGTTCATTAGAAAAAGGACTCTACTGAGGAGAAATTCAAATATCCATCAGTAAAATTACTATTTTTTTATTAGAAAGGGACTTTACAAACGAGCAACTCTATAAACTTGTAAAATAATTGATATTAATGTATGCTCATCTCTTACTGAAAAGGGACTCTACAGACAAGCAACTTAAAAACAAATCTGGAAAAAAAGTGAAATCAATGTTAGTGTTACAAAAAAGGACTCTACTGACGAGCAACTTTCAAATTGGACTTAGAAAAAAATAAGTGAAATAATTGATTTTAATGAAACAAAAAGGACTCTACTGACGATTAAAATAAATTATGGTTAGAAATTAGTAACATAATTGATTTTAAAAGCAGAAAAGACTCTACTGACAAGCAACATATTAAAAATAATACATTTTAATGGCAAAAAAAAACACTGACGACCATAATGACAAAAAAAGGGACTTTATTGACAAGCAACTTAAATCTTGGATAGAAATGAAAGAAACAATTGATTTTAGTGACAGAAAAAGGACTCTAATGACAAGCAACTTAAAATTGCATAGAAATTAAAGAAGCAATTGATTTTAAAACGATAAAACGATAAATGGGACTCTACTGATGAGCAACGTAAATGCTGGAAAGAAATTAGTAAAATTATTAATTTTAAATTAAAAACTCTACTGACGAGTAACATGATCCTTGATAAAAGTTAAAGAAATAATCGGTTTTCATGATAAAAAAAAGACAGAAAAGGGACTCTACTGACGAGCAACTTGAATATCGAATCAGTAAAATAATTAATTTATAAACAAACGGACACAACTGACGAGCAACTTAAATCTGGGATAAAGATTAGTAAAATTTGCTAATTTACTTTGAAAACCAGAAACAGAATCTAATTTCTTATTTTATTAGACATATTAATTTAACTAATATTTCTTATAAAAAAAAACTCTACTGACGAGCAACTTAAATATTGGACCAGCAGAATAAGTAATTTTGATAAAAAGGAACTCTACTGACGAGCAACTTGAAAGTAGAATTGCATTAATAAAATTATTTAAAGAATACAAATTTTTCTTGAAAACCAGAAGCAGAATCTAATTTCATGCACAATTTGGATCATGGCCTTTTAGGCATGTTATTCTAACTAATAATTCTGATCTATTTATTATTATTATTAAATTTTATTTACGTAATTTTTGCATACGTCTTATTTTTGTTTTGATTTTCAGAGATTGCCATTAATCTATTGTTGTACTTGTATCGATAAAACAAAATAACCTCCAATTTCTGTGTATGTGAAAAGGGACTCTACTGACGAGCAACTTTAATATCATTATTTATATTGTTAGAAATTAATAAAAAATCAACCTAAATAGTAGATAAACAAAACTACTGACAAGAAATTAAAACTCTTAAGATTATAATTTTTTTTTTTTGAAAACCAGAAGCAAGATATAATTTAGACATATTATTTTAACAAATAATTCTAATCTATTTACATCTAGAAACATTGTTTCACTGACGAGCAGCAACTTAAATGAGCAGAAAAAAGGAAGCAAAAAACTGGAGCAGAAAATAATTGCTGATTTAGGTAAAAACCGAGACATAAAAAATGATTCTACACATAAACTGGATCTGATTTTTTGGTCCTAACCAACAAAAAATTCTAAAAATTATCATTTACCTCATATTTCTGTGTCGATATATCAATTTTCTTATAATCTTCGTCATTTTTCTTGTTATCTTCCTTCTCTTTCTTGTCCTCATCCCGCTCCTTCTTATCCTCTTCCTTCTCTTTCTTTTTCTCATCCCGCTCCTGCTTATCCTCTTCCTTCTCTTTCTTGTCCTCATCCTTCTTGTCCTCTTCCCTCTCTTTCTTGTCCTCATCCCCTTTGTCACTTTCCTCGTTCTTCTTCGCCTCCTTCGACAGATGCTTCAAAGCCGATATGATGTCCTCCAAATGCTCCAGGACTACCTTCGGATCTTTGTTCTTGACCGCAACCGGAGTGTAGACTTTAGTCGTCGGCGATATAGTGACGACACTTTCGGTCGTCCCACTTTTGGTTTCCAAAATATTAATAATCTGATCCATGACGTCAGAAGGACTCACGGCTTTACCGAAATGGGGCTTTTCTTTCATCGAACCATACTTGGTATCACCTCCAACTAATAAAAGATAGAGGATAGAAATTATTAAATTGTTATGATAACGATGTCTTATGCTTGTTAATTGGTAGTGACAAGTATGAAAATGTTTATGTATTTGCTATTTTGATCGTTATATACTAGATGAATGCTATAGCATCCACGTCAAGTTAGTGACTATGAAAAAAAATTCAGTTTTAACTGAAGAGTAATCTTCCACGTTAACACGTTCGCGCCCAATAAAAGTTTGAGTAGTCGTATTATCGTATTTTGATCGTTATATACTGGATGAATGCTATAGCATCCACGTCAAGTTAGTGACTATGAAAAAAATTCAGTTTTAACTGAAGAGTGATCTTCCACGTTAACACGTTCGCGCCCAATAAAAGTTTGAGTAGTCGTATTATCGTATTTTGATCGTTATATACTAGATGAATGCTATAGCATCCACGTCAAACTAGTGACTATGAAAAAAGATGGAATTTCAACTGAAAAGTGATCTTGCATTTTGGAAAAAGGAACTAGCTGTAAGTGGAATTCTGTCTTCAGGCAATTATGGCATCGTGCCTTAAGGCATGTTGCTGGAACTTCCCGTACCGCAATTCAAAATTCTATTAATTAAAAATAATCAATAATAATCAATCAAAGTTGATCATTGATTTGAAACTTTTAATAGAATTTCGAACCATATTATATCATTCTATCTTAAATCACTTATTTTGAAATATTTTGTGAATTCTGAACTTTTTTTCAAAATAATCGTACTGCTTTAACTGCATAAAGAAGAATTATCGAAGCGCCTAAGCGCCGCGTCGCCGTCTAACGCGTAAACATTGGTACGGAACCCATAGGAATGTTAACTAAGTTGAAATCTCTATAAAATATCTGATAATTTGATGTGCATATGTCTAATGTTCATTTTTGACCGCCAAATGGCTCATTTTTTTACTTTTTCCTCCATATCTCCAAAGTCGTTGGACCTGCCTTTCCAAAAATTGATTAGTTCTTCATTTAGTCAATACAAATAAAATGTTTTTTGAATTAAAATTAAAAATTGAGTTACCGTTTTCGGCACTTTTTGCCCCGTATCTTTGGAACGGCTAGACCTGACTTCGCCAAAAACTAATCAGCACGTCTCCTTATCAATACGAATCGAATGCTTTTTGAGTTATTCAAATCGGTTGATCCGTGTGTCCGAAATCATCGACGAAAATTTGTATTCGCACATACATACATACACGCACGCACACACACACACACACACGCACACACATACATCATTATTTCTAAGGTATATCAAAATGTTCAGAAGGTTTTGAAACGTAAAGATATATAAAAAATTTCATTTTCGATTTTTTTGCGATTACTATAACTTGCCCTATGGGAAGTTAAAAACATTCGATTCCTATTAATAGGCAGATGTGCTGATGAGTTTTTGGCAAAGATAGGCCCAGCGGTTTCGGAGATACAGAGCTAAATGTGCAAAAAAAAGCAGTTTTTGAGAGAATTCCGATTTAATTGATTCAAAGAACTTTGTGCTTGTTTCAACAAAATAATTGATTTTGGAAAAAAAAATTTTGTTTCTAATTTTTTTTTCGAAAAATATTTTTGTAATTTTGGATTAAAAATTCAAAAAATTACCCAGGCTAAGCACAGTCTAAGCGCCACTCTGGTACAAATGTTTACCCAAGTGCATTTAGACTGTTTGTGTATTGGGGCACTTTTTTAATTTTGTCAAAACTATAGAAAATGCCGCCAGGCTAAGCACAGTTTAAGTGAAAATGTCCCACAGAATTATTTGCAAATGCGTTTAGACTGTGACTATACGGGAGCACTTTTTCAATTTTGTGTAAATTAGGCAACTATTTTTTTGAAATTGACTTCGAAATGAAAGGACGATTGTTAATGTTCTCAGATATAAGAAGATAGCAAAATAATGAAAGTTACAGTATTTGTAATGATATATTTGAAAACGTTTAAAATTTCTCGATTATTTCATTACGGTACGGTAAGTTTCAGCAATTTGCCTTAAGGCACGATGCCATACACCACTAGTTTACCTTATTTCTATTATGTTTCTATTTACCGATAACTCCGGGTATGACTATGTTTTCCGGTACTTCGACACTTGTTTGTCTCAATTTTGATTTTGAAGTTTTCCGGGGATCCGGATGAGTGTTGCCATATGGCAACAAGAGTAGAATGAGTGCATAGGTTATTACAAAAGTCGACATGGATAATATTAATAAAATAAAATTGAAACGTTGAGAAAATTCGTAGAAAATGTGTCAAAGGTTTTTTTTGGGACAAATGAAAAACGAATTATGACATTGACATTTTTGGGAAAAATTTTTGTTATTTTCCCGAGGGAGACGTTTATGTTTGTCAGAAAATGCAATTTGCTAATTTTACGATATCTCGGCGTTTCAAGCCATGGGGCCGTATTTATCAAAAGTGTGTACGGGTGTGTATTCAAGCCGAAATTTTACCTTTCGTCGACGATTTCTCGAAAACGGCTGGACCGATTTCAAAAATTTAGAAGCCATTCGATGTATCTCGATAAGGACTATCGTTTGTCAATTACCAATTACCAAAAACATGTAAAAATTTTGAACCACGTTTTACCCCCGAATCCTGAACCGATTTCGATGATTCAAAAACTTGAATCATTGAACTTGGAATGACATTAGTTGTTGATTATTTTTTGAAAAAATATTTAGACATTTTTAATGAATTTTTGCACAGTGATAAGGTAAACCATTGGTTCTCAATCTTTTTGTGTCTGCTAAAATTTACAATTTTTTTATGAGAATGTACAATATTTTTTTACTCTTTGTTACTATTTATAAATATTGTATTGACTTTTTCTCAAAGATTTGTATAAGTATTATATAAATAAATAAAAAAATAAAATATAATAACATTTTATGCTGAGTACGATAGTAATTTTTTTTTCTATTGTGGACCCCTTAAAAGTCCAATAGGGCGAATCACTAAGATTTATTTATATCATCCTAAAAATTAAAGTCTTACAAAAAGTCGTTTTGTATTAATAAAAAATCATTGCATTTTGAATAGTCTGCTTTTGAACATTTTTTGAAAAAAAAAAACATTTTTTTTGAAAATTTAGTTTTTTTTTAATTTTCACAACTTTAAAAGTCTAAAAAATCTAGTTTTTCAAAATTTTCAAAAAAATTTCAGATTTTAAAAATTTTGAATTGCGATTCTGAATATTTTGTATCACGTGACTTGAGAAAAAATTGACTTTTTTGAAAATTGTGATTTATTTTATTTTGTCTGAATATAAACAAATTGCTGGAACTACCAGCACCGCTATTAAAATTTTTAAAAGAAAAAAAAAATTTAAAACCTTGAGACATTAGATTTTTGAGACTTTTGAAAATGTAAAAAATGGACTTTTTTGAAAATTTTAAATTTTTTAATTCTGTCTAAAAATCAACATTTACTGGAATTTCTTGCACCGCAATTCAAAATTTTGAAAAGCTATTTTTTTTTTTTTGAAAATCTTGAAAAATTAGATTTTTGAGAATTTTTGAACTTGTGAATAAATGGACTTTTTGAAAATCTTGATTTATTTAATTTTGTCTGAAAATCAACAAAATTGCTGGAACTTCTAAAAAAAATAGATTCTGGAGAGAAAAAAAAATAAAAAAAACATGATAACCTTGGAAAAATAGAATTTGGAGACTTCAAAAGTGAAAAAGTTGACTTTCAAAAATTCCGATTTTTTTTTTAATTCTAAAAATTTCGTAACAGTTGTTCAATAAAGACATCTCTTATCCATCCCCACAAAATTATCCAAATGCGTGTTTCAAAACAATCATCATCTCCTAAAATATGTTTCTGGTAAAAATGTTCCCCATTATACCCCACTTGTGGGAACGTTGGCAACAAATCCTCCCTCGCAATATTGGGGATGATGCTTTTCCTTGTTTTGGGGCGGAAACAAACAGTAACAGTAGTATCACAAAAGTCTCTCTAGTGAAAACAACTCCAAAAATAATTCATAAAATTATAAAATTAATATGATAAATTAAATTAATAGAATTATTATAATAAATAAATGTGAAAAATAAACGAAAAATGTGAAAAAAGTGGACAGATAGCTTGTTAAAAATTTAGCATTTTTATTGGTTTCATTGTTATGGAACTAAAAACTTGTGGTATATATTAAAAATAAATTAAAGTTAAATAAATTAAATTAAATTAAATAAATTTAATTAAATTTTTATAATAATTTAAACATATTGTGAGCAACAAATTCAATTTTTTATAGTAAAATTAATAATTTTATATGCAGAATTTTCAAATCATCTAAATAATCTAAATTAAATCATTTAAATTAAATAAATAATAATTTTAATAAAATTTGTTTACAGATTATAATAGATTTTATTTATTGCATATTTCGAATTTAATTTATAAATAATAATAATAATAATTTTTTCCATAAATTTATAAAAATTAAAATAAGTAAATATTTAAATTAATTAAATAATAAATTTATTCATTTATTTATTTATTTATTATAATAATTTTATTCACTCATAAGACATTACGAATAAAATAATTATATTCTTATAAAAATATAAGTAATAATAAATATATTATTGATTAATATTTAAATATAATAAATGTGGTTTATTTTAGACTACGCTAAGTAAAAATATATTAATAAATTTATAATCTGAACTTGTTATTATTATATAAAATATATGTAACTATTAATGAAAAATTACATGAATATTTTTACATACATTTCATAAAAAGTTATGTAAAAGCAACAATCAAATTAATAATAATACAAAGGAAAAAAAATTAAAATAATTACAATTGTCAGTTACTAAAAATGTTTAAATTTTTGTTAATAATTTATTATAATATACAGCATTTATAAAAAAATTCATTTATATTCATTCATTTATATATAAATTCAAAATAAATCATATTTTAGAATGAGTGAAAATATTTCTTTGTGAAAAAATTAATTAACTATATATTATGCATTTTCAAAACTATTTTTATAATATTGTGATAATAATATCGTAATAATATCTCTAGGAAAAAATAATTTTGAATTTATAAAAGACTTGAAAACATTATAAAAACAAGTTAAGTGAAAATGCTAAAATATGCCAAATATCAAAAACTTTTTTGTAAAACATCGAACATTTTTGAGAGATATATAAATAAATATATGTAATCTCATTTTAAACTAAATAAAATAAATATATCGTGAATGAAATAAATTTATAAAAGAAAAAATAAAATAAATATATTGTGATAAAAAGTTTTGGGGATAGAATTATTTGGAAACAAAGTTCTGTGAAAACAACAACGAAATAATAAAAAGTGAGGAATTTTTTTGCAAAACAAGAAAATCAATTGAAAACTATATAAAAACATTATTAAATTTTTAAAATTAAAAAAAAACCACTACGGTATAGATTATAACAAAATAATAAGAAACATATTTAAATGCATTATAAAAACAAGTTATTAGAAAAACAATTATTTAGACTGTCTAAGTTAGACATAAAGCTTATATAAGCAAAATATTAGAATTAATTAAATTAAAGTTAAAAAATTAGCAAACTATTAAAATTAATCAAACAAAAACAGTAAAAAAATATTTTTTTCTTTTATATATGACTTAATAGATTATAAGTAAAAAATTATAAAGAAAGTTAAGTGAGAAATATTATTTGGAAACTAAACTATTTCGTTTTGGAAACCAAGAGACTTCATTAGAAACTTTCTGTAAAACATCAAAATTATTTGGAAAATCTTCGAATGCATTTGTTGAATAGTTAAATTTACTTATAGAGTATTTTATAAATAAAAATGGATATTGACAATGACAACCACACCACATCCCTTTCCAAAAAACCAAAACCTCAATGTCCATCATCGCCTCGAGATTTCTTCGCCAGACTTTATGGGCATTTGGAAAGCGAAAAAAATCTTATGGGCAACAAATCTGAGGTCAAAAATACCTCCAACATTAACTCACCAACATCAACATCAATTTGTACAAATTTTAAAATTTCTGAAGACACTACAATTTCTTCTCCAACTAAAGAAGAAACAAGATCTTCCTTCCAGCAGAGGCTTTTATTCAGGAATTTTGTGGAGTGAAGATTTGGCCAAATTTTGTTCTGGTGATGTAGTAATAGATAATGAAGCTGGCCCTAGTAGGATTTTTGGTTCTTATAACATCCCCAATTTTGCACCTGTTTTGGGGTTGAATTTGGAGGCGCATTTGGGAACCGGGTTCGGAGCCTACCGTAAGTGGATAGTGAAATTTTGCTCCTATTTACTTTTCCCGAAGGAAAAGTTTATGTTTTCATAAAAAAATCCGATTCGCTAATTTTATGTTTTCTCCTGGACGTTTCAAGACATTCTGAATCGAATGAGACCAAATTTGGAAAAAGTATGCATGTGTGTATGTGTGCGCGCAAACCGATTTTTTGCAGTAAATCCAAGTTTTCTCAAAAACCGATTTTAAAAATTTAAAAGTCTTTGGGTGTATTTTGATGAGGACTAGTGTTTGTGAATTTTGTGTGACGATCGGCCAAGACCTTTCTTTGTAAATTGCAAAAAAGTGTAAAATTTTAAAACAAAAATACAAAAATATTGTTTGAAAAAAAATTAGAAACAAAATTTTTTTTTCCAAAGGCAATTATTTTGTTGAAACAAGCAGAAAGTTCTTTGAATCATTTAAATAGAACTCTTAGTTCTCTCAAAATGTGCCATTTTTTTACATTTTGCTCTGTATCTACAAAACTGCTGGGCCTACCTTTGCCAAAAACTATTAATTTCTTCCAATCATTACGAACTGAATGTTTTTTGGATCATACAAATCGGATGATCCGCTCTCTCAAAAACTCAATTTCTATTTTCTGCACTCTTTGCTCTGTATCTCCGTAACGGCTGGACCTGCCTTTGCCAAAAACTAATCAGCGCATCTCCATATCAATAGGAATCGAATCTTTTTTAAACCATTCAAATCGGTTGATCCGTGCGCCCGAATACGTGACTGAAAATTTGTATCCATACATACATACACACACACACACACACATACACACACACACACACATCCATTTTTTCTGAGGTATGCCAAAACGTTCAAAAACCTTCAAAACGTCGAGAAATATAAAAATTTTTAATTTTGATTTGCGGCCTATTACAATAACTTACCCTACGGGAAGTTAAAAAATCTCATTAAACTAGATAATATTATCTGTAAAACGAACTACGATAAAAAAAACAAAAATCGACAAATGACGGCGTTTTTTAAAAAAATAGTCGATTTTTACCCAAAATTTTGGTCGTTTTTGGACTGCCAAAATTCGATTTTTGATCCGATCAAAAAATCGATAGTTTATTTTACGGAGAACTATATATAGAACATGTAAAAAAAAAATGATAGTGATCGGATCATTTGTTTTTGAGTAATAGCTGCAGCAAATTCGGAAAATGCTGTTTCGAAAAAACGCGTTTAAAAATAAAATGATCGTTATACTATATACTATATATATACTCTTGAAATGACTGTGACTCAAAAACTATTTAAGATATCGATTTAAAATTTTGGTATGTTATTTTTAAAGGTATAACCTATCGAAATATGGAAAAATTGAAAATTAGATTTTTTGAAAATTTCACACTAGTTGTGCCCCTTAAATGTGATCACAAATAATTTTCTACCAATATTTTCTTAATCATATGAAGACGTTTATCCCACTTCTGTTCTTGGTTTATTATTCTTCCATGGGAGTACCAACAGTTGTTTATGAATTTGTCGTATTGTTGTCTAAAGGGGGGGTTCTTTTAACTGAATACACACAGAGGTATTATCCGGCCAATAATAAAATATTGTACGTGTGCATAATGCAGACTTAAACGGTTTAGTTTGAGGTATTTATTTTCTACACGAAATCTTTGCTTTGGATATTAGTGGGTACTTGATGATGATTGAAGTGGATATTTGTAAATTTGTGATAAAGTTGAGAGGTATATAACAAAAATATATAATATAATGATATAAATTGGTATTATTTATCTCAGTACATGCGAAAAAAATTTGTCTAGGTCTTCCTGACCGATTTTTTTTGTATAAAGTTTTCCCAAATTTTGTTGACTTCACATAGAGTAAACAAGAATCAAGAATTTTGATATATCTTTCAGGGGTATCTGATAGTTTTAGTATATCTTTTAATCTTTCTCGACGATTTCGGGTGTACCGAGTATCTGATTACATTTATTCAATCCAATTAATCAAATTTTCGATTTTTTATTAATTCAAAAATTTCTAAAATTGCTAAATCTTCAACAAACTTCAAAATATAAACTAATCGGGTTACAAAATTTATACAAAAACCGAATTTAAGTTCAAGAATTTCAAAATTTTCAAAAAAAGGTATTTTTAGTTTTGATTTTTTTCTTTTTTTTATCAAAAAAAAATTTAGAATTTTCAGCAAATTTAAAAATTTCAAAAAATCGGGTTTCTAAATTTTTACAGAAATCTAATTTTTTCCTCAAAAATTCCAGAAGATTCAAAAATTCTTTTTTTTTAATTTCAAAATTCTTCATTTTTTAGATTTTCTCAATTTTAGTACTTTCAACAAATTTTAAAATGTAAAAAATCGGGTTTCAAAATTTTACAAAAACATTTTTTTTTAAATAAAAGTTATAAAAAAATCTTTTTTTTTTTTTAATTTCAAAATTTTCGATTTTTTAGATTTCAAAAATTTTAGAACCTTAACGAATTTCAAAATTTACAAAAGTCTATTTCATTCAAATATTATACAAAATGCAATTTTATTTAATAAATTTAGACTTTTCAAAATGTAATTAAGCGTTTTTTTAAATTGTAAAAAAAGTTTCAATTTTTTTATTTCAAAAGTCTTAGAATCTACAGAAAATGTCAAAAATCTGAAAAATCACAAAAATCCAATTTTTCCAAAATTTTCTGAATTTCCAAAAAAAAGTCTTTTTTCAATTCCAACATTTTCTATTTTCCAGATTTCAAAAATTTTTGAATATCCAACAAAATCATACATCTTACAAAATCTAAAACAAATCATACATTTTACAAAAACCTATTTTTTTCAAGTTTTCAGTTTTCAAAAAAAAAATTTTTAATTTTCGATTTCCAAAAATTCTAGATTTTTTAACAATTTTCAAAATATAAAAAAATCAGAATTTAAAAATTTCACAAAAATCTAATTTTTCAAGAAAATATTTGTTTTAATTTGGGAATTTTAATTGAAAACGAAATTAAAACATTTAACAAGAATCTAATAATTTTAAAAGTTTAAGAATTTTTCAAAAAAAATTTTTTTTTCATTTTTAAAATTTTAAGAATCTTCAACAATTCTGTATTACGTAAATTTCAAAATCTAAGAAAAAACTGGGTTTTTATTAATAGTTTTATTTAATTTGGGAATTTTACTTGAAGAAGAAATTCAAAAATTTCTCAAAAAAACAAATTTCTCGAAAGTTTTAGAGTTTTCAATAAAAACAATTAATTTATGATTTCGAAAATTTTGGAATCAACAATTCTGAGATATGTAAATATTGAAATCTAAAAAAATGGGTTTTAAAAAATGTCACATAAATCTATTTGTTCCAAAAATTTCAGAATTTAAAAAAAAAACGTTTTTTTCAGAAAAATTATTCAGCTCCAAAAATTTGTTTCAGCTCCAAAAAGTTTACAATATATAATTGAAATAAATGCATTGACCTTTGCAGTTTAGAAAAGTTTATATTTTTTATAATTCTTGGAAATATAAGATAAGGTCCTCAAACGCTCTCGTTCCAACTCGAATTGACTAGGTTTTATTTATAATATGTTAAGGAAGTTCCAGCAATTTGCTATAAGGAAAGATATCAGGCACCACTAGTAGATAATTTTTACTTTACCATCAAATAACCTTCAAATGCATTTCCTCCTTCGGGGGTATACCCACTACACCTCACCCCTTTGTACATCGTCTACTTTACTAAGTCTTTCCGTCGACTGGGTGTGGGTGGTAGTAGTGAACGAGTGAACGAGTGTGAATAAACGAACGAGTGATATTATTATATCATATTATATTATATTGTATTTTGTTGTGTCGTGTGAATTGTTATTGTGTTTTAATACACTCGGATGCTATGTACATCATCATCATCATCGCGATTCTGCTTCTGCTTCTGCGAACGTTTATTATGATGCGATTACCAAAGCATAGTTGAACAAGTCTCAATTGAAGTACACTGATATATTGTATAGGATTTTGTGCGAACGGGGACATTTATTAACGGAGGACTTGGAAAAATGTGCAAGATTTTAGAAAATTCAAGGGGAAAACTGATAGAAAACAGAAAATTAGCACCATGGGTTAAACACATAACAAATGTGCGTTACATTGTTTTAGTTTCATTCGCACTCAACAGAGGGTTTGCTATGCCCAAGTTTATTATTAATTTACTAACTTCCCGTAGGGTAAGTTATTGTAATCGCAAAAAATTGAAAATAAAAATTTTCATATTTCTTCACGTTTTAAAGGTTTCTGAACTTTTTGGTATGTGTGTGCGAATACATGTTTTCGGCGCGTCCGATTTGAATGATTCAAAAATCATTTTACTTGTATTGATTAAGTCTAGCAGTTTCGGAGATTCTATGAAAAAAGTAACAAAAATCATCATTTGGCGATTGAGATTTTATGAGTATAAATTTGGTTTACATTTCTATGGATTACGTAATATTTTGTATCCGTTAGACTGCGTAGCGACGCTTACGCGCTTCGATATTTTTTTTCTCCTTTATTCTTCAATGACTATTCACTACAAAAAATTCAAAATAATAAAACAAAACACTTTTTTCAAAGTTTTTTTAAAAAAAAGTGGAGTATTTTTTAAAAAAATAATTTTGTCTCCAGTTTTTTTTCAAAAATGACTATCTACTTAAAAAATTTCAGAATCCTCAAAAATTTACTCTTTTCAGTGTTAAAAAAAAATGTTGAATATTTTTCAAAAAAATAATTTTGTCTCTACTTTTTTTTCAAAAATGTCTATTTACTTCAAAAATTTTAAAATTCTCAAAAATCTAATTTTCAGTTTTAAAATAAATGAATAATTTGAATATTTTCTAAGAACATTAATTTTGGCTCTACTTTTTTGTCAAAAATGACTATTTACTTCAAAAGTTTCAAAATTTTTAAAAAACCACTTTTTTTCAAAGTTTTTTAAAAAAAAGTTGAATATTTTTCAAAAAAATTAATTTTGTCTCTACTTTTTTTTCAAAAATGAGTATTTACTTCAAAAATTTCAAAATTCTTAAAAATCCACTTTTTTCAAAGTTTTTTAAAAAAATGTGAAATATTTTTCCAAAAAAAATAATTTCGTCTCTACTTTTTTTTTTCAAAAACGACTATTTACTTCAAAAATATGTTACTTTTTAAATATGTTTAATATTTTTCAGAAAAAAATAATATTGTCTCTACGTTTTTTTCCAAAAACGACTATTTACTTCAAATATTTTAAAATTTTCAAAAATCCACTTTTTTCAAAGTTTTAAAAAATGTTGAATATTTTTTTTAAGAATTAATTTCGTCTCTAAAAATGAATATTAACTTAAAAAAAATAAAAATTCAAAATTTTTAAAAATCCACTTTTCTCAAATATTTAAAAAAAAAAAAAATTTGTCTCTACTTTTTGTTTTCAAGAATGACTTTTTACTTCAAAAATTTTAATATGTTCAAAAATATTTTTTTTCAAAGTTTAAAAAAAATGTTTTTTATGAAAATTAATTTTGTCTCTAATTTTTTTTTCAAAAATTTTAAAATTCTTAAAAATTCACTTTCTTCAAAGTTTTCAAAAAAATGTTGTATATTTTTCAAAAAAAAAATAATTTTTGGCACTGAAAGTTTCAGCAATTTGCCTTAAGGCACGATGCACCATACACCACTAGTTATTTGAATTTTTTTAGACTCCGATCGCCTATAAACAAAATTTTTTCAACTTTATCACTAGAAGGGGAGTTTTGTGGCGATATTAGACTTCAGTGTTTTTATGATGTTTGATTAACAAATTTGTCATAACTTTGGACTTCAGACTTACGCATATTCCTGACGACTTACAAACAAAATTGTTGTAACTTCACCACTAGAAGGGGAGTGATGTGGCAGTACTAAGCGCCGGAATTTAACATTTTTATTGAAATTCTTCAGTCGATTTTACTTATTTTAAATTTACGCATATTCCTGATGGCTTACAAACAAAATTTTTGTGAGTTTATCACTCGGAGGGGAGTTCTGTGGCGGTACTAGCCGACAATGTTTTTATATGTTGTGCACAATTGTAACATGACACATTTTGTTGAGATTTTCTATTTTATTTAGTCAATTATACTTAAAGTTTTGGTATGTGTATTTTGTTTTCATAATGATATATTTTGGCCAAATTTACGAAAGTCCTTTATAAATGTTTTGGATAATCAACTATTTAAAAATTGTTGATTTGGGAAACTTTCCTTAAGGCAAAATGCCACTTACACCGAGTTGAATTTTTTTGTCATTCTCATTTCTATTTATAAAGTCCTCACGTGTATTCCTACCATATGGCGAAACGTTTATTTCGCTTTAAAATATATAAATTGCACCACAATAGGTATTTAATACAATGAAATATATATATATATATATATATATATATATATATATATAGGGGAGACTAGGGTAAAACTAAGAACAAGACATATAAATCAATATATCACCTACTAGTAAAACTTTTATGAAATTATGCTACTAGAGTTAATAAAATGGGTATCTTTTGACCAAGTGTTACATTTACCACAGTCTCCCCTATGAAAGATTTGTAATATAATACCTCTATAGTGAAAAGAAGAGATTTGTATAATATTTATCTTAATTTGTGGCGGCTTATATAAGCCGCCCTACAATAGGGATTTTATTCTGTATTGTTATTTGATGGGAGGCGGAAAATCGGGCGGTGTCTACGAGGATTAAGAATTATATATATATATATATATATATATATATATATATATATACTATGTATTTGTAATATTTTTGCAGCCCAATCGTCGAATTAAAAAATCAATACACTTGCGTTGTAACCTTGATCAGTGTCTACAATGCACCGCTATCAATAACATTAAATATAGGAGGACAATATGTGCTCCTTTAATTTCTCGTTTGTTTAGTTAAATTTAGTGTTCAAACAATTTTACATCATAATTAATTTTTTCTGTTGTTTTTCCTGGTTTGGTATGTATAATATCCACCTTTTTATATATTTATATTTATCATCAACTGTGTATTTATGTTATATGTTTTTTTTAGATTACTGAATGATGACACACATCAAGTGTCGAAACGTTTAATGGAATAAATAATTTTATTATATAATCGTTTTTTAAATCGACGGTTGGGCTGCAAAAATATTACAACATGAATCATGTATCAACGTCGACAAAACTATCATATATATAATTCTTTTGTAATGATGTATGTAAATATACTCCTCCTAAACGATTATTCGGATTTTGATCAATCTTTCTAAAGTTTGTTAAGGAAAATTTTAGAAAGTAAGTGATTATAAAAACATAGTTAGATTGTAGGAATAAATGACAAAAATTGCAAAAAAACACTTATCATTGTTTGTCATTGAAAATATTTTCACAAATAACAACTGTCATCTGCCAGAAATTTCAATTCATTTATGAGCCTAGACAATATAAGAATATAACATATTTATGATTATGAATAACTACATTGATGTCTACATTATTATTGCCGAAAAGCAGCTGAGATGTGCCAGAAATTAAAATAATATAAAATACAGTATACGTTTGGCAGATGCAATTATATAAATCATTTAGACAGATTTGACAGATTTATTAATTATTTATTTATCAAAACTAATAAAAATCGATTTCTTAAAAAAAATTGAGAATATTTTGAAATTTTCAAAAAAAAAATCTAATATTTTCAAAAATTTCCAAATTCTCAAAAAATTTAGACATTTTTAAAAAAAAAAATCAAAAAATTCAAACTTCTAAACTAGAATTTCAAAATTTTGACAAAAATTCTAAATTATCAAAAAATGTCTAAATTTTGAAAATAAACAATTTAAAAAAAAGAAAAAATTTCTTGTAATTATACACATAATACGCTTGTCGCACTATTTAGGAAGCACTTATAAATTTACAGTATGTATTTATAACAAATGAATAATCTAATTGAAATTATTCAAAACAATTATTGATTATTTTTATTTCTCGAATGCATATATACGGTGCGGGAAGTTCCAGCAATTTGCGTTAAGGCACGATGCCATGCACCCAACTAGCTTGTGATTGCTAAGTTTGAATAAACAAAAGTTATAACCACAATCGTCGAAAGTTTCACTAAAGGGATATAGATTTGTTTCTAGTTTTTCTCTTGGCGTTGACGTTGAGTTCTGGGACACCCTGTATATTTTATATTTCTAATAATATTTTGCTGTTTTGAATTGTAGACATGGGTACAGGACAACGTCTGTCGGGTCATCTAGTATATATATATATATATATATATATATATATATATATATATATATATATATATATATATATTCTAATAAGTTTTTTTCTCTAGTGGCCAGAAGAAGGCGCAAAGAAGGCCGACCCCGTCGTCAACGGACGACATTTAGCAGTGAACAAACCCTAAGGCTAGAAGTCGAATACCGAAGGGCCGAATATGTATCGAGGTGCCGAAGGTTTGAATTGGCCGAAGCTTTGTCTTTATCCGAAACCCAGGTTAAAATCTGGTTCCAAAATCGAAGGGCCAAGGATAAAAGGATCGAGAAGGCCCATATTGATCAACAGTACAGGTCAGTTAATAAAAGTTCTATTCTAAATGTTTTTGTTTGTTGTGAAATTTGTATTAGCATGTTTGCATGATAGTTGTTAATAATGTTAACTACGTTTGTTTTTATTTGTTTTTTACACACCTAATTCCAAATAACTCGTTTATTGTCTCTAATTACACTCTCTACAATACACAATATTTCGTTAGAACAAGATTAGATAGAGGCAAAGCGCGAAATGTCTAAATGGACATTATATACATTGTTTCAATTATGGAGCTTTTTGTGCTCGAAATCTAAAAAAATAACTTACCCTACGGAAAGTTAAAAATGTGAAGTAAAACTTCTAAGGCGACTTCCAACAAGGTTTCGTTAAAACAAGATGAGAAAAAGATAAAGCGCCAAATGTCTATGGACATCAACACATTTGTTAATTTCGTTTGTCTTTACTAATACAACTTATCTCTAATCACTCGTTTATTGTCTCCAACTATACTCTCTACAATATTTATTTCTATATTCTAAGGTGTTTTAAAAATGTTCTAGACATTTCAAAAATGTTTGGATGTTCTAAAAATGTTCTGGATGTTCTAAAAGTTCTGGATGTTCTAAAAATGTTTTCGATATTTGAAAAATGTTTAAGATGTTCTAAAAATGTTTTGGATGTTCTAAAAATGTTCTGGATGTTTTGAAATGTTCTGGATGTTCTAAAAATGTTTTGGATGTTCTAAAACTGTTTTAGAGTGTCTAAAAATATTTTTAAAAATGTTCAAGATATTCAGGAAATGTTCTGAATGTTTTAAAAATGTTCTGGATGTTTTAAAAATGTTCTGGATGTTCTAAAAATGTTTGAGATGTTCTAAAAATGTTTTAGATATTCGAAAAATATTCGAGATGTTTTAAAAATGTTCTAGATATTCTAAAAATGTTGTAGATATTCAAAAAATGTTTTAGATGTTCTAAAAATGTTCTGGATGTTTTAAAAATGTTCTAGACATTCTAAAAATATTCTAGATGCTATAAAAATGTTTTAGATATTCTAAAAATGTTCTAGATATTCTAAAAATGTACTGGATGTTCTAAAAATGTTTGAGATTTTTTAAAACTATTTGAGATGGTCGTAAAATGTTCTAGATGTTTGGAAAATGTTCTAGATATTTTAAAAATGTTCTATATATTCGTAAAATATTCTAGATATTCGAAAAATATTCTAGATGTTTGGAAAATGTTCTAGATGTTTGGAAAATGTTCTAGATGTTAAAAAAATGTTCTAGATATTCATTTCATAAATGTTCAGGATGTTCTACAAGTGTTCAAGATATTCTAAAAAAGTTTTAGACTATCTAGAGATGTTCTGGATATTCAAAAAATGTTCTAGTTATTCGAAAAATGTTCTTGATATTTTAAATATGTTCTAGATGTTCTAAAAATGTTTTAGATATTCTAAAATTGTTCTAGATGTTCTAAAAATGTTCTAGATATTATCAAAATGTTCTGGATATTCTGAAAATGTTCTACATATTTTAGAAATGTTCTAGATGTACTGAAAATGTTCTAGACCTTTCAAAAATGTTTTGGGTGTTCTTAAAATGTTCTGGATGTTCTGAAGAAGTTCTAGATTCTGGACGTTCTGAAATATTTTAGATGATCGTACAAAGTTTTAGATGTTTAGAAAAAGTTCTAGATAGTCGAAAATTTCTAGATAGACTGATTTTCAGTTTTTTGAAATAGTCTAAAAATATTCTAGATAGTTTAAAAATATTTTTAAAAATGTTCGAGATATTCCGACAATGTTTTAGATATTCTAAAAGTGTTCTAGATATTCTACAAACGTTCTAGATAAACTGAAAATATTCTAGATATTTCAAAGATGTTTGAGATATTCTAAAAATATTTGAGATGGTCGTAAAATGTTCTATAGATAGTTTGTAAATGTTCTACATATTTTAAAAATGTTCTAGATTTTCTGATAATAATTTCAAATAGTCTGAAATTGTTCTAGAAAGACTAATTTCTAGATAGTCTAAAAATATATTGAAAGTTCTGACAGTAAAAATGATCTAAAAGTATTCTAGATTTTTGGGAAATGTTCTAAGATAGTCGGAATATATTTTGGATAAGCGAAAATGTTCTAGATAGTCTGGAAATGAGTTTATTTAGTGAAAAATAATGTAAATTGTCTGAAAATGTTTTGGGTAGTATGAAAATATTCTAGATATTCTAAAAATGTTCTAGATGTTTTAAAAGTGTTCTAAAAATGTTCTACACATTCTAAAAATGTTCTGGATATTCTGAAAATGTTTTATATGCTCTGAGAATATTTTGGGTGATCTAAAAGTGTTCTAGATTTTTGGGAAATGTTCTAGATAGTCGGAAAATATTTTGAAAAGGCGAAAATGTTCCTGGTAGTCTGGAAATGAGTTTATTTAGTGGAAAATGATTTAGATTGTCTGAAAATGTTTTGGATAGTGTGAAAATATTCTAGATGTTCTAAAAATGTTCTGGATAGTTTAAAAAAGTTCTAGATATGAATTTAAATGTTCTAGATATACTAAAAATGTTCTATGCATTTTAAAAAAGTTCTAGATACCGTAAAAATGTACTAGATACCGTAAAAATGTACTAGATACCGTGAAAATGTTCTAGATACCGTGAAAATATTCTAGATGTTCCAAATATGTTTAAGATAATCGAAAAATATTCTAAATATTCAAAACAAAAATTTTAGATGGTCTGAAAATATTCTAGATAGCCTGAAAATATTCTAGATATTCTGTAATTGGTGTGTAATTTTAGATATGGAAATGTTCTAAATAGTTTCTAAATGTTCTAGGTATTCTAAATATTCTAGATATTCTAAATATTTTTGAGGTAGTCTGTAAATGTTCTTGATATGTTAAATATGTTCTAGATATTTTGAATGCGTTGTATATAGCCGGAAAATGTTCTAAAATATAGTAAAATATTCTAGATTAATTGAAAATATTCGAAATAGTTTGAAAATGTTCTAGATGGTTTAAAAAAGTGTTCTAGATATTCAGAAAATCAGGTTCTGGATAGTCGGTAATTTTCTAGATTGTCGAAAAATATTTTGCATGGACGAAGTTATTCTAGATAGTCTGATCTAAAAATATTTAAACATCATCTAAAAATATTCTAGATAGTTTGTAAATGTTCTAGATAATGTACAGATTTTCTAGATATTTTAATAATATTTTAGATAGGCTAAAAAAGTTTTAGATCGTGTTAAAATTTTCTGGATACTCCAAAAATAGTTTTTATTGTCTGCAAGTATTCTAGATATTTGCGAAATGTTCTAGATAGACTAATAATATTCTGAATAGAGTCGGAACATGTTTTTTGTAGTTGATTGAGAATATTTCGATTTAGTACAAAAACAAAATATATTTAACAAGATAAGTCCAAGAGAGGTCTTATAACCAATCCTTGAGACACACCCAGATCTAAATTTAATTTATTCACAGTGTTTGTTAGTAAAAGAAAAGCCTTTTAATTATATTAGACAATTTTAATTTAAATGTGAGAAAAGGAAATGTGATATAGAATTAGTTTACTAAATACTATTTACTCGTGTTTGAAATAATTGGATTATCATATATCGCATCGCATGTGTGTAGGAGGCTTTGTAATACCCTATTATGTGTGTTTAATACCCCATTTTAGCCCTTATGATATTAATTTGTCAATAAGCATGCGCCGTTCCGCCCTTCTATCATTATTGTTTTGGGAAACATATTTCATTGTGATATAATTGTGGGCGACAGATATGGCTGGACCACAGGTTTGTGGTCTCAAAAAATATAGGGTTAAAAAAAATAATCAATTTTCAACTGGAAATTTTTTTTGAAAAAATCAAAATTTTTAAGAGAGAGATAGACAATGGGGATGTTTGGTATGAGTGAGTGATAGAGAAATATTGACATTTGTAAAGAGGGTTGACTTAAATCCGGTTATTTAGGTTTTTAGTTTTTACTCGATTTTTTTACTAAATGCACAAACTTTGGAATGAACTTCCCAATGCAATTTAGCTAACTTTTTTCTAAAGAGTCTCCTAAAGAGAGACCTGACAGAGTCGAATGATTTGGAAATTTTCAAGGTCATAATTTGACAAATAGTTTTAAATCTAGAACACCTGTAATAATTTTGTTGTTATTATTATTAGTTTTTTACTTATTTACTCCATTTTTTTAATAACTATAAAGTATTTTACCATTTTAGTTAAAACTTTTGAGAAAACTTGCTAATGCACTAAAATATCTTGAACATTTTTAGAATATCTAGAATATTTTTAGAATGCCTAGAACATTTTTGGAATATCTAGAACATTGTTAGAATATCTAAAACATTTTTATACCATCTAGAACATTTTTAGAATATCAAAAAGAATCTAAGGATGTCAAGAACATTTTTTAGAATATATGAAACTTTTTTTTAAATATCTAAAATATTTTAAAAATATCTAGAACATATTTTGAATATTTAGAACATATTTGGAATATCTAGAACATTTTTAGAATATCTAGAACATTTTTAGAACATTTAGAACATTTTTAGAATATCTAAAACTATTTTAAAATATCTAGAATATATTTAATATATCTAGAACATTTTTAGAATTTCTAGAACATTTTTAGAATATCTAGAATAGTTTTAGAACATCTAGAACATTTTTAGAATATCTAGAATAGTTTTAGAACATCTAGAACATTTTTATAATATCTTGATTTTTTTAAATCTAGAAGTTTTAGAATATCTAGAACATTTTTATAACATCTAGAACATGTTTAGAATATCTAGAACATTTTTAGAACATTTAGAACATTTTTATAACATCTAGAATATTTTTAGAATATCTAGAACATTTTTAAAAAATCAAGAACTTTTTTAAAATATCTAGAACATTCTTGAAATATCTAGAACTTTCTTAAAATATCTAGAACATTCTCAGAATATCTAAAACATTTTTAGAATATCTAGAACTTTTTAAAATATCAAGAACATTAGAATATACATAGAAAATTTTAATTTCATTAGCAAATTTGCATGCCGTATATGTTCGTCCATCCACTATTACGCCACTTTATCAAGACGACTATATTTGTCACTCACAGCTAGCAGTCATGGCCTTAAAATATTCTTAACAAATTAACATTTCAGAATCTATATTGTTATTCGAAAACATTATAATTAACTTCCTGTAGGGCAAGTTATAGTAATCGCAAAAAAATCAAAAATGAAAATTATTATATATCTTTACGTTTCAGAGGTTTCTGAACATTTTGGCATACCTTAGAAAAAATGGATGTATGTGTGTGCGGAAACAAATTTTCGTCGACGATTTCGGGAACACGGATCAACCGATTTGAATAACTCAAAAAACACTCGCTTCATATTGATAAGGAGACATGCTGATTAGTTTTTGGCATAGGCAGGTCTAGCTGTTTTGAAGATACGAGGCAAAAAGTGTCAGAGACGATAACTCAGTTTTTGAGAGAACGGAGCGTCGCGATTTGATTAATTCAAAAAACTTTCTATTTGTATTGATTAAACGAAGAACTGTTTAAATTTAAGGCAGGTCTAGCGGATTTGGACTCTCAATAAATAAAAGTAAAAAAAAAAGCCATTTGGCGTTCAAAAATGTCCATTAGACATATGCACATCAAATTATCAGATATTTTATAGAGTCTTAAATAACGTGTTCACATTTTGTGTCATTTTTTGGGTTTTGTACCAAGATTTTCAATTTTAAAATTTACGTATATGATTCAAACAAATGTTTTCGACATTTTTGATAGTATGAAATAACCGATTTGTATGATTAAATAATCATTCGGTTCGTATTCGATTGCGAGGCGTTTTTTCAAAAGGCACGTCCAACGTTTCGGAGGTATTGAGTGCAAAGGGTGTAAAAACGGTTATGCAGTTTTTAAGAGAACGGATCATTCGATTAAATTAATTCAAAAAAATATTTTGCTTGAGTAGATGGTGTACAGAAAATATCGTAATTTTGAAAATTTTCAATAACAAAAAGTTTAAAAAAATTTAAAGTTTCAAAAAATTTTAAGTTTTAATAAATTTGAAGTTTCAGAAAATTTAGAGTTTCAAAAAATTTAAAGTTTCAGAAAATTTAGAGTTTGAGAAAATTTTGAGTTTGAGAAAATTTAGAGTTTCAAAAAAATTTGATGTTTTTATAAATTTGAAGTTTCAGAAAATTTAGAGTTTCAAAAAATTTTAAGTTTCAAAAATTTTAAGTTTCAAACAATTTTAAGTTTCAGAAAATTTAAAGTTTCACAAATTTCAAGTTTCACAAAATTCAAAGTTTCACATAATTCAAAGTTTCAAATAATTCAACCTTTCGAAATTTTTCATCATTTTCAAAAAAAAAATTGTAAATTTTTAAAGAATATCGAAATTTAAATAAAATCGATTTCTTAAAAAAAATTGAGATTATTTTAAAGTTTCAAAAAAATTAAAGTTTCCAAAAAATTTAATGTTTGAGAAAATTTAAAGTTTGAGAAAATTTAAAGTTTGAGAAAATTTAAAGGATCAGAAAATTCAAAGTTTTAAAAAATTCAAACTTTTGAAATTTTTCATTATTTTCAAAAAAAAAACTAAACTATGAAAATTTTCTAAAATATCAAAATTTAAAACAAAATCGATTTCTTAAAAAAAAATTGAGAATTTTTCGAAATTTTCAAAAAAATCGAATGTTTTCAAAAATTTCTAAATTCTCAAAAAATGTAGTTTTTTATTTAAAAAAAAATCATAAAACTTCTAAAAAAATTTCGAAATTTTGACAAAAATTCTGAATTATCAAAAAATGTCTAAATTTTGAAAAAAAACAAATTAAAAAAAATGAAATTCTTAACATACACATAATACGTTCGTCGCCCAATAATAAGCACTTATAAAATATACAGTATGTATTTATAATAATTAATCTTATTGAAATTATTCAAAACAATTTCTGATTATTTTTATTCCTCGAATATTTAATTACGGTACGGGAAGTTCCAGCAATTTGCCTTAAGGCACGTTGCCATACACCCCACTAGCTTATGATTGCTAAGTTTGAATAAAAGAAAAATTATAACCACAATTGTCGAAAGTTTCACCAAAGGGATAGATTTGTTTCTAGTTTTTCTCTTGGCGTTGACGTTGAGTTCTGGGATACCTTGTATATTTTATATTTCTAATAATATTTAGTTGCTTGTCGATTCTTTGGCAATCCCTGATATAAAATCTGGATGTGCGTGCGTCCTGTCTATCACATAGATTTTGCTCCAGGAAAAACATTTAGCAAATTTAAGAGGGTTGTTTTAATTTAGGGCACTTATCTTAATCGTAGATAAATATTTGTAAAAAAAAATAAGCATGGATTTATATTTATTTATTATTAATTTTTTGTAAAATTTAATGACTGCCATTTTTTTATTTATTTCTGCTTGCTATTGACAATCAGTATTTATTAAATAATAAATATTCTTATTTATTATCTTGCATTTTTTTAATTTGGAATGATAATTAGACAGAATGATTTACTAGAATTGCATTAGTGTTCATTGTAGTACCTAAATTTGTTTTTCTTTTCTGATAGAATTTGAAATATTCTAGAAATTTGGCAGTGGCTTCTAGTCTTCTAACCGGTTTCCATACTTCTTGCAACACTTCACCAGCTACAACCGGTTACCACATTACTCCCCCTGTGGATAATAAAATAGGACAATGTAATCTTTGTTTCGACAAAACTTCTGATTTTAATCATACATAGAATTAAACATAGATTAAAAAAAATTATGAGTGTGTAGACTTAAATTCTAATTGTAAACGTCTTGTAATTTTTTTTATTTAAGAATAGAATACACATCTATTGTCTTATACAGAAATTACTGTTTTTGTTAAAAAATTAATGAAATTAGGTGTACCGCAAGAGCGTGTTTCAGGTTCACGCGTTGATACAAAACTTAATTTTAGCTGTATTACAATAAAATTTAAGATTGCAAAATATTTTTTTCTGATCAAGTAATTTTTGTATAATTATTAAATCTAGAAACTACATTTTTAAAGATGCTAAATCGGTAAAAAAAATCCCATAAACCCCATAAACAATTAAAAATAAAACTGAATCCCAAAGCTCTTGTCTTCAACTTTTGAATTTTGAATACACAAATTAAAAATTTAGGATAAAATAGGCTACGTAACTTAAATTTTATAATGCTACAAGAGAGCGAAGACAAGAATGTTTATTTTTTGTGGTTTTGTAAGGAAAATTAATAAAAATCCGGTGTACCGCAAGGACGTGTTTTAAGTCCACGCGTTCAAACAAAATTTGATTTTAGCTGTATTAAAATAAATTCTAGATAGCAAAATATTGTTTTTTTGATCAATTAATTTTTGTATAATTAGTAAATTTAGGAACTATATATTTAGTGATGCTAAATCGGTAAAAAATATCATAAATCCCATGAAGAATTAGAGAGAAAACATGAATTCCAAAGTTCTCATCTTGAATTTTTGAGATTTGATAAGTGCACAATAATGGTACACGAGTGTTTAATTTTTTTATAAACATGATGTATTTGTATATTGTATTTCAACAATGGCATATGGTAACAATCGAATCAAAGAAGTATATTTAAAAAATCTTTATTGTTACCGAATTAAATGCACCCTTTTGCATTTGTTGTGTAACCCGTGCGGAAAATATTGTTTTGTTTGATTGAAAAAATTGTATATTGTTATTCTTATTACAAAATATAGTAATAGTATTATTACAATAGGATAGTGATGGGATAAACTGGGTGTAAGTGGCATTTTGCATTGAGACAAGTTGCTGAAACAATCTCATAAGTGTAAATAATTGGCTTGATAAATAGGAATTGAGTTTTAGCACATTTTGAAGGAAATGAAATTTTGACTTATGCATTATTCCAAATTTTGTTCTCAATTTTTTTATATAAATTTTTGAAGGACTAGAATATTTTGAAATTCAATATCTTACATAATTTATATTAAAAGTTTTGTAAACTTTTCAAACAACTGACTGACAAATTATATGAAGAATATTTTTGAACTCAAAATTTGAAAACTGAAGATGAGTTGTTAACTCTTTCGATTACATTTTTTTTATGATTTACCTAATATTGTTAAAATTTGTTAGAGCACAACCATGTTGTTATATATCATTTGAAAGCTAATAAAATTTACTATAAACTCGTTTATAATAATTAGTAACTTTTGGAACAAAATTTTGTATAAAAAATTGTTGAAATCCGAATTTGAAAGATGAGACAGGTGAGATGATGTTGTTAGTTACTTTTTTGTATGTATATTCAGCTTTATATTGCTAAAATTTGTTAAAGTACACCCCTATTATTATATATCATTGGAAAGCTAATTAAATTTACTAAATATATAACCTTTAAAACAAAATTATACAAAAAAAATTAAAATTCTAAACCGAACGTGATTAATTTTTCCATTTTATACTCGATTCGTACACGATTACTTACATGACACGGTTCGTGTGCGATTACATTTTTTTACATTTAGCAATATTGTGTTAAAAATTCGTTAATAACATCAATATTGCTATACAGTGTTAAAAAGCTAATAAAATGCACTATGAATCTGCATATATTAATTAGTAACACTTGGCACAAAATTTTGTAGAAAAAATTGTTGAAATTCAAAGTTGTAAACTGAAAATGAGTCGTAACATTTTTTTCATATTTAGCCTTATATTATTAAAATTTATGAAAGTACGCTTTTATTATTATATATTGTTGAAAAGCTAATGAAATTTTCTATGTAAAAATTAGTACAAAATTATGTGAAAAAAAATCTTCAACTCTTTGTATTCAGATTGTTTAGTAAAAATTTTCCCAATATTGTTGATATAAGTTTATATGAATTTGACACAGAAATACTAATTGAAATTTGAAAAATAAAACGGTACTATAAGTTTAATATTCTAAATAAATTTTACTTTATCCCTATTTATCACCAAAATGTCCTCATCTATAATTTTGCTACTTAAAATGATTCTAAATAAAAAAATGATTGATAAGTTTGTTCAGAATTAAATTTACTCATCTGTGAATAATTCGATTTTGGGAATTCGGTATCAAAAATCATATATTGTCAAAAACGTGTTTTATAAGGACCTTTTATAAGGGTTCTTTATAAGTGTTAACGAATTTTATTACGAGGATTCTGCGGCTTTTGTGTGTTTTTTTTTTTTTTTGATTATTATTGATTGGAGATGGATGGGCAAATATTTGTGTAAACATACGTATTGATGGGTTGTTTTGGTAAAAATATAATAAAGGACAGTATTTTGTCAATATCTAGCTATAAATTATAAAGTTTTGCTTATAGGTTTTTTTTCTGATAGTTACCCACATATCTCCAGTTTTGAAATTCGGATTTCAACAATTTTTCCTACAAAATTTTGTTCCAATTGTTACTAATTTATATATATATATATATATATATATATATATATAATATATATATACAAGTTCATAGTAAATTTTATTAGCTTTCTAATGATGTACAAAAACAGGGGTGCAGTTTAATAAATTTTTACAATATAAGGCTAAGTATAGAAAATGTAACAAATTTTCTCTAGTTTACAACCTAAAGATCTTTTCAAAGTTGAATATTTTTTTCTAATTAATTTTATTGTATTTGTTACTAATTATTATATACAAATTTATGGAAAATTACTTTAGGTTTTTAATGCTATACAATAACAGGGGTGTACTTTAATAAATTTTGCCTATACAAGGCTGAATATAGAAAAATGTAACTATAACGACTCATTTTTAGGTTTCAACTACAGAATTCAATAATTATTTTCTATATATTTTTGTTCTAAGTGTTACTAATTATTATATACAGATTTGTAGTAAATTTTATTTGCTTTGCAATGATATATGAAAACAGGATTTGGATTTCAACAAATTTTTATACAAAATTTTGTTCCAGGTGTTACTAATTTATATATACAGATTTATAGTCTATTTTATTGTCACATTTTATTATATTCAACCTTATATTGTTAAAATTTGTTCAAGTACACCCCTGTTTTTATCATTGAAAAGCTGATAAAATTTTCTATAAATTTGTGTATATTAATTAGTAACACTTAAAACAAAATTTCATAGAAAAAATTGTTGAAGTCCTAAGTTGAAAACTAAAGATGAGTCATTACCATTACATTTTTCTATATTTGAAATTATTTTGTTAAAATTTATCTAAGTACACCCCTGTTATTATATGTCGTTTGAAAGCTAATGAAATTTACTACAAATATGTATATATTAATTAGTAGCAATTGGAACAAAATTTTGTATAAAAAATTGTTGAAGTTCAAAGTTGTAAACTGAAAATGAGACGTGACATTTTTATATTTAGTCGTTACCATTACATTTTTCTATATTTAAACTTATATTGGTAAAATTTATTCAAGTACATCCCTGTTTTAATAAAATTTAATATAAATTTGTATATATTAATTAGTAACAATTAGAACAAAATCATTAGAATAAATAATGTACTTAAGCCTGTTACTATTTTTCATTGAAAGGCTAACAAAATTATTCAATCCAATACAACTTTATTGAAATTGTATTAAATTATCGATTAATTGCAATTATTAGATACAAACATAGAAGTCAAAAATAACAGGTCTATATATTATAACTACCTACATAAAAATTAAAAAAAAAATCTTATATTTAAAATAGTTTTATTTATGCCAATACTAAAGACGATTCATATAAAAATTATAGAAAAGCTTACTTTACTTAACAAATTTAAATTTAGTATTTAAAATATTTTTTATTACTCTTAATATAAGGCAAGACAATAAATTTTGTTCTAAGTGTTACTAATTATTATATACAGATTTGTAGTGAATTTCATTAGCTTTTCAACGATATATAACAATATGGGTGTACTTTAATAAAATTTTAACAATATACAGCTAAATACAGAAACCTAACCTAGAGAACGCACAAATGTCCAGAGTGAAGTTGCAATTTAACGCCTGACCGCACAGCAACCACATTTGCATTTAGACAGCTTTTAGTGCCATTTTATATGAAACTACATAACATTGGTCAATTTTAGGGCAGAATCTGATCATAAATCTAAACTATTTTTTAAATTTAATAAAAAAAAAATATACTTCAAACCAATTTTCCACTTAAATTCCTCCTCATAAGCCTCGTGTCCATAAAGCGCGTGTCTTAAAAATTAACAAAAAGAACATCTTGCACATGTCGATGGGCGTCAACTATTTTTTTCTTTAAACTTGATTCATTTTCTTTAAATTTCAAAAAAAAATTTGATTCATATTCCTCCAAAGTTGTCACTTAAGACTACTTAGGCGAAAATGGTTTCCACTCGGACAGTTTTCTTCAATAGATCAGCACATGCTCTCGGTAATATTATTGTATTTCTTAGGTGTTATTGGCGTATTATGCGTTATAAGATCAACTAAGTAGGTGTAGTTTAGATTGCATTGTCATAGGAATTGTGTAACAGTGTGTGCATAATGTGTTTATGTCCATTGACAAATTGCCGCCTACCAAATGGCAAAGGACTCTCTTGTGGATTCGGAGAAATGTTGAGGTTTTTTGAAGGAAGAGCAGTGGGGTAGTTGATACTTTTTTCTAAAAAAAATTGAAAAATGAAATGTTTAAAGGTGGCCTATCTTTGTCAAAAACCACTTAGCACGATTTTAAAATGATATTCTTCAGA